ATGGCATTCATCTATGAGCACTATCTATCTTATGTGTGCTCTGTTTTCTCCCAAATTGGGGTATGTTATAGCTGAGACCATGGGCTATAAAAACGGTGTACTTTGTTTTTTCATCGGATGTTGGGATCATGTCGGAATTTTCAATCGAAATTTGAAATTGCAAATTTTGACGGAATCATTAGGTGATACGTAACGAAGTCTACGTATCACCTATTGATTTCGTCAAGATTTTCTTTTTTATTTATTTTTAGGTGATACGTAACGAAGTCTACGTATCACCTATTGATTTCGTCAAGATTTTTATTATTATTCCTATTATTCTTCCTCGAATTTGTTCGCAGGATATCTCAAGACTGAATAAAGCCATTGTCATGAAACTTTCAATGATGATATATCTTAGTCTAACTTAGAACTGCGTGACTTTTCAAAGACTCAAAGTTATCGTGACGTCATCCAGACGCCATTTTGTTAAAATCAACTTATGATCATATCTTCATAACGGAAAACCATTTCTCATTCATATTTGTCATGATCAAGGTCAATATTTGTCGGGTCAATTTGAGGTCAATATATGCGCGTAAAAATGCGCGTGCGCGTAGGTGCGCGCGTTTACGCGCGCTAAATTTTTTAAAATGTTCCAAATCATCCCAAAATTTTTTTGCATACGTTTCAGGCCATATGGAGCATTTGACAAAAAATCATGCACACGCGCATGCGCGCGCGTTTTTTGCGCGTACTAGCATTTTGCAACATAGAATCGTTGAATTTTCTCTGCCATCGTATTTGGTACATTTTTCCAAGCATTTTGATAATTTGTTCACCTTTTAATAACGCAATGAGCGTCCGTCAAAGTTTACGGCACGCGCGGATCTGCGTTATCTTTATCTACTATACATGGGCAAAAACATGCCTATACAAAATTCATTTTAACTCTTTAGAATAGATAGAAACTCCCAATATTTGTTCATATGTGGATAGATTATGAAATGGAGATATGATTTCATGTCTCATTTGACCCTCAATTAACTCATGATGTCATCATAATGGTCTCCGAACTCAAAATTTAAATTTGCATATTATGACGTTTGCATATTTTGGAAAATTGATTATATTTCTGTAAATATTGATTGTTTTTCTTCCAAATTTTGATATGTTCTAGCTGAAACAATGCCCTACAATTGAGTGTCCACAATTTTTCTTTTTGACAAAGGCATCATGGCGTATTTTTGCGATTAAAGGAGGCATGTCAATTTTTCACATTTTGCGTGTATTGTCTATGGGACATGACTATTTCTCAAAACTGGATTCTACATTTTCGTCTTTCGCGAGCAATATCTCCGTTGTTTTAGCTTTGTTTTCGTTGAGCTTCAATTATGTTGTAGCTGAGACAATAAGCTATCTCCAGTGTGCACTTTGTTTTTCGATCATATGCCGGGATTATGCTCATATTTCACTTGCAAAGTGGGATTAGAGATTTCCATTTTTTGTTTACGTGTAACCGCTATGGGAAATGTTTTGGTATATCGGTAACGCACTTGACTTTCCGACCTTGAGATCCTGGTTCGAGTCCGGGCGTCTCCAACAATTTTTTCTTTTCTTTTTTTTCTTCTTTTTGTCCTTTCACTGTACCATGTCCTTTTATTATTTAAACACATAGAATCGCAAATAATGTAATAAACAACCCTATTTACTTTATTATTACCCTATTTACACTTAATCTATTACTTTTGGGGTGTAATCCCTATGGGAGATGACTTTTTCCTCAAATCTGGATTCTACATTTCTGTCTTTTAGAGCGACATCGCCGTTATTTCTGCTTGGATTTTGTTGATTTTTGAGTATGTTGTAGCTGAGACCAGTTTCCAAAAGATCTATGTAGACTATTAAACATTATCACGATGTTGTCATAGTCAAAAATTCAATCATAGATGACATGTCATATATAACAATTCTCAATCGAATACCTGAAGGGGGCGCTTTACCATTTTTAATCATGGCATCTTCATTATCATTAATATCTTCATTATCGTATGCATGAACATTATCATTATATCATCATCGGCAGTTTCGGCACACTGTCATGATCGAAATTTAAGAGCCTATATGCTAGAAATATTGAAGGCATTTGTCTCAATTGCATCTCTCCCCGGCCTCCCTCTCTTTTCTCTCTTGTTCTTTCTCCCTTCACCTAGTGCTGTTCTGCCCCTCTTCTTTTTTTGGTCTCTCTCATCTGCATCTCTCTTGTCCTCTCCTTCTCTCTTACACTTTCACCCTCTCCCTCTCACTGTTTCCCTTTCCCTCTTCTTCTCTTGATCTGTCTCCTTCTGTCACTGCCTCTCTCTCTTTTTCTCCTCTCTCCCCTTTCACTTTGCATCATCTCAGCTTGTCTCATTTATATGTATAACAATTTAATCCAAGGAAATTCGAGGCAATTTCTATCGTTTGGCCACTGCCATGCATACTAACAATCGTTTCTAGATTTAACATCATAGATGTTGGGTTATGGAATATTAATATCTTACTCATATTTCTGATTTTCATATTAAATCAGGACTAAATAAATCACTATGTACATCTGGTAATATTTATTTTAAAAAAGTGTTTTAAAGGTAATACAAAGTTTTGGTATGGGGTCATGAATTCGGTCCAAATGAACATATTGGAAGCATATGCGATCCTACAATATTCAGTGATCGTTGTCGCGGTTAAAATCGAGTCTAAAGTTATGAAATTGCAAATAATAAACTCGTTATGTTGTATAGCTCCCTCTTAAGGTCAAGATATTAATTAAGCTATAAAATAATGTTTCTTGACTAAAATCATTTTAAAAATCATGGTCATCATTCTAATATCGTCATCATCGTTTTCATAAACATAATCGTTTTTTGAATTATCGGCAATACTTTCATGATCAGTATTTACAAGAGCGTATTTATGCTAGAAATATGCAAGGCGTTGTTTTCAATTGCATCTCTCTCCTCTCTTGATCTTGCTCTGTTTCCCTTCTCCTTTCATGTTCTGCCCCTCTCCTTTTGTTTGGTCTGTCTCTGCATCTACCTATCTTTCTCTTTTACCCTATCTCTCTCACTTGCCTTGCCTCCCTCTTATTCTCTTGCTCTGTCTCTGCATGCATCTCTCTTTTTCTATTCTCTCCCTTTCCCACCTCTGGCTCTCTTAATTGTTCTGTCCGCTCTCCTTTTCTTGCTCCGTCTCTATCTCTCTTTTTCTACTCTCCCCCATTTCCGCCTCTGGCTCTCATGTTCTCCCCGCTCTCCCTTTTTTGATCTCTCTTTCTCTTCTCTCTCCCTTTTCCGCGTCTGGCTCTCTTAACCCTATATAGCGCTGACATTTTACGAGTTTTTTCTTTGACATCTCCCGCACATTTTAAGACCCTATATTTGCGAAAATCGGGGGTATGGTATCGGAGATGTACCACATTTTCGTGACCAATGTCACACAAAAACGGCTCCAAAAATGGTTTCCAATGATCTTGTGTGTACATTGTATGGGTTTTACAAAAGTGTTGTTAGAAGAATGTTATTTTTTGTTTTTCTTCAGATAACATCCCTTTTGGCCATCATGAACTATTCTAGATAACAAAACAATGACAAACACAAGATTTAAAAACAAAGCAATTAGAATTTCAAGAAAAATTGGCATGGAATTTCAATACATGTCATTAATTTGACTACCCTATCATATCAATTATGTCAAGCTACAAACATGTCAAATTTAATTGCATTTTCTCCATAAATAGGGGGGAAACTAGACAAAATTGCATATTTGCATCATTAATTAGACATAAATTAAAATTAACGATATATATCATAAATTTTACTAAGCATTCTTGATTAGTACATGATAAAAAACAAACACGCCAAGTTTGGACAAAATCGGTCCATCAATAGCCGAGATCATAGGGGGGGGGGGCCTTAGAAGCCCCCCCCCCCCCCCGGGTTATGCAGTTTCAAAATAGCCCGGGCTATATAGGGTTAATTGTTCTGTCCGCTTTCCATTTCTTGCTCCGTCTCTGTATCTCTATTTCTCTACTCTCCCCCTTTTTCGCCTCTGGCTCTCTTGTTCTGCCCGCTCTCCTCCTCTTGCTCTGTCCCTGTATCTCTCTTTCTCTACTTTCCCGCTTCTAGCTTTTATTCTCCCTCTATTTTGCCTTCGGATGCTCCTTAATTTCCTCTTGCACTTCCCTTCGCCCCTTGTATTCTTATTTCACATCTACCGCGTTTCCTCACCGTCCTGCCTCTTTTCAAGTGCATGCATTGTGATTCCTATTGTATTTCTCTGTCCAGCTCATTTATTTTTTCAGGACTATACCCCGTCTCCCTCCTCCTCTCTATATATATCTACTGCCATCTTTTTTTCTTCTCTCTCTTTATCTTTCCGTTAACACCATAGACCCTTAAAACAAAAACCAGGCAGACCACCTCTTTCACCAAGTGACGAATCAAATCTCGTTTTCTATACGTTTCAGACAATTACAATTTGTAACTGTATTTGATTGAAGTTATAAAAACACGTTTAAAATAGTTGGTTTACAATTACACATCTGTATGGTCTTTAATTCTATAAGGACTGATGCTATCTACTAACTTCATGTTTGTGAATTATGTTTTCATGATTTTGTTTTGATTTGTTTAGTTTAGTCGGTACGAGAAACATCACTATCAGTATCACCATCATGCCACCCTTTTTTCGCAGCACCAATAAGGCTCTTGCCTTTTGTAATTGAGACGTTTCTTCATTCATGCATTGTTATTTCATGATCTCCTCTACAAATTGTGTCAATGTACTCTTTTGAAAAATAAATGAATGGAATAAATGTCAAATTGAACTTGAACCATCATCACAATTATCATACCTATCAACATCATCATCATCATCAATTTCATGCACCTTAAGCACCATCATCATAATCATCACAACCGCCATAATTTATCACCATCGCCATTACCATCATAATAATACAAGGAAAATCAGTATAAACATTATTTGTGCAATCAGGCCATTTTTTATTTCATTATATAAATTGAGATATTTTAAAAACTCATATCTAAACACAATTCACTAAATGAATTCATATTCTAAACAGCAAAAACTTTATGACAAAGATAAAATTGAAAATAAAAAAACAGAATTGATGTAATTCAATATAAAAATTCTGCAATATATATAAGTGATTGCAATATAAAGCATGATATATTTGGCATTTCTGAAATGCTTTGGTGTTTAAAATACTTTGAGAGTGGAATAAAGTAGGTTTGATATATGATAGTCAGGATTCAAACCCCACAACATCGCTTATAAGCACACCTGAAGCGAAATAAAGTCACAAATACTTCCAAACATTACTCCCTCCCAACAAAAAAACCTAAACATATTTTTTAGTTGGCATTAAAGTTTGAGCCGTCAACAATTAGTTTGAAGAAAAAAAATTGACAAATGATCAGTTCTGTCGTGACAAAAATGTTACAAACACAGCATTTCTAGAGGAATTTCAGAGAGAAAGGCTAAAGGCTTAGAAGTGTTCACAGGGAGAGAATATTCTTAGAGTAATCCCAGAAAAGTAACATAACATATTAACAAATAGTTTCAGGAGACGTTAACAAAAATTGCATTGACACCCAAGCAGCACATTGAAAACAACACCTCCTCCATGTTTCGGCCTTTCACTACGTCTTACATCAACATGAAATTATGCAACTAAGAATCTCCCGTTAAGTGTACACAGTATTTACAGACATTTGTAGCACAATTAATACATAATGGTTAGAAAGACTTTCTTCAACAAACATTGCCTAATGGCCACAAGATTTTTTCCTTTTGAGAAATCTAATTACCAGCCATTTGAATTCATGTTTTGCATAGAAATATATATATTGTCCTCGCATGTACATCTTAATATTTCAATTCTCATAACTTACCATTGGGATTACACAATGGATCTTTCTAGCAAAGGCATGAATGCAATAAGCTTAGATTAGATTTAAATGAGCTTGTGAGCAGTGTTGTGTTTATTAAAGGATTGGAATTTCATCTATCTTGCTTCGATGTCAACGAACCATGCCGAGGCGCGGTATGATGCAACAAAGCAACCCAGATAGAGGGATGACGACGAGCATAATCGCCATGCAGCAGGCATTGTATCTGAAATAGACAGAAAGAAATTTATAAGTTATTTCAACTTTGATGCCACCAGTCATTTCAATGGCGTGGGTTAGAATATCACCGCTGCCACCATGTAATGTGGCGTTGTTTGGCTGTATTGCTACAACACATGAACTTCGTTTTGGCATGGTTGTATTTGATCATGTAAGGTCAATATATAACATATATGAGATCACATATTACAGATATTACAGTCCCTTCCACCTTTTCATACTTTGGTCCTATCAACCAATAAGAGACCAACAAGAGACTAAACAAGAAATTACATTGACTCCAAAGGCCAAGAATTGGTTGGTTTAGAGTTGGTGCAGAGGTGTGATCGAGGTATTACAGAGGCATATGTGAATGACTGACTCTGATCGATGTCTCATCAAATTACATTACTACTGAAACACAGCTCAAATGCACAATCTATACTATCTATATTATCTATGTCAAAGGCTTAACCCTATCTAGACATTTTTCGCGATAATTTTTTAACGCAAGAAAATCTTGCACTGAAATTTTGTGACTTTTTTCTTTCGAGTCTTGCGCATCTTTTGAAAGAAATTTTTCGAAAATCAGACCTACCATTACAAAGTCACATGTCCTTTTGTCTTTGCATGTCAGCCCGAAAATCGCTCATTTTTGTGATTTGTGTACAAAACATATAGAAATATCATTTTTCAAATAAAGAGATAAAATATTGGTTATTTGGTTATAGTTTAGGTGTTTATTTTGGGGTCAAAATAGTTGAAGTATAGTTGGAAATGAAATAAAACAACAAAAACAATAAAATACATAAGTTAAAAAAACAATGAAATACATAAAAAATTATCAAAACTATAAATAAAATAAGGAATAACTTGGGTCTTACAATTTTTTATAGCTGTATTATTATCCCAAACAGTCTAAATAATATATGTAGTGAAAATTAATGTTTAAATATGAAGAATATATGATTTATGGATAAAAATGTGAATGTTATTACCATATTTGCATAAATTACCATAAATATGCAAATGAGTGAATTTTTCAAAAAAATTACCATAGTAATCTATACACTTCACTTGATATGCATGCAAATTTTTGCGGCGATAGGTCGTTTCACGGCCGAGATCATAGGGGGGGGGGAGGGGAGGGGCCTTAGAACCCCCCCCCCCCCCCCCCCCCCCCCCCCGAGCTATGCAGTTTCAAAATAGCCCGGGCTAAATAGGGTTAAGCACTGTACTACAACACCCTCTCAAAGGTCTCATTACTGTGTATTCCTCAGGTAGTCTTTCATCAGGGTTCCCAGGACTTCATGAAAACAAAAATTCCCAATTTTTTTAAAAATGATAAATGGTTTTAAAATTCCAAGATCCAGTGGAAACAATCTTTGGACACGAGACGAAAATTAAGGCCAACAAAATTTGCTGATTAATCCCAAATTTTAGCAACTTTTTTTCTTTATATTCCCTGATTTGCAGAATAGTTGGTAACCCGTTCAAAGAAGGGTTTCCCTATAATCTTGATGATTATCTTTGTAGAACAGCTAGTATGGAAGGAGTAGGTGTCTTACCCATCTCGCAGAGCACACCAGCGTATCCAACAGGGCATTCACAGGTGGCCGGGATGTGGCATCGTCTAGGAGACAAATACCGCCATTCTGGCAGGGGCAGATGTTTGTATAAAGAAAAATAAGGGAACATCAGTATAAAACATTCAAATAAAAGATAAAAACTATTAATCTTTTGCTTATGAAAAATAGGTATGAGAGCCAAGTCAAATAAAAAAAAAAAATTCAAAGCTGATATAATTTATTCAATGGCATGCAAACTTATTGAATGATAATTTTTGCTGATGCCACACCAGGTTGTCAAGGCTTTCCATGAAAGAGCAACTAAATTTACCAAGTTGTTCTCAATGGCAAGTAACATTATAACTGTTATAAGATACTGATAACAACGCATTTGATTGGCTGAGAGCAAATTTGTCATAGAATTTGAGCATTAATTATTGATAAGAGGTTTTATAAAACAAGGCCCAAGTCTGATGGATGGACGCCAAAGATAGAAAGAGGACAGATTCAGAATAACAGAATGTTCTTACAGCTAAGGTTGAGCATCTCAGCTTCTCTCCTCCTCCTGTCGTTCTTGATACACAGGTATCGGGATGGGATGTAGAAGCACTGTTCACTGGGAGCGCATGGGTTGCTGGAACAAGGGTTGGCACCAACTGAAAATACACACTAACACATGACAATAATTATAACAATAATAATGATAATAATACAGTGAAACCTGTATATAAAGACCGCTCATAGGAGACATTAAATGTCTTTAAAGACAGGTGGTCTTTATTAACAGGTTTCAATGAGAAACAATAATCAAGGAAAACAAAATATGTGTCCTTTCTATACAGGTGGTCGCTAAACAGGTTTGACTGTAATAATGGTAATAATAATGTCCATCTCTCATATAGCGGGTGACCATTAACTGACCAAAGCGCAATACAGTATTATTATTACCCAGGTCACTGGATTAAATTATTATTTTCTACATTACAGTGAACATTCTCCGCTCCCTCGGGGGCATTCCTGCTGGTCACTTTTTTATAGATGCCTACACTTGCTTATCTAACCAGGTATTCATTAAACACCTGTATGGAGAGGAAGGTAAATAAAATGTTATTGTTGAAAGACATAAACGGATGTGGTTCATGCAAATTGATAGCAACTCGATACCAATTTCAACTCTATACTACATAGAGTTTGTAAGTATGCACTTGATTGGAGTTGTGATTTATTGATCAAAACTTTTTATAAGACAAGTTAATATGCCCCTCACAGCTTGGGTCAAACCAGACATCAAGGGAAACAATACCGGTAGTTTAGATGTTGAATTTATGTTCTCAGCTGCCTAATACTTGGTAAACTATAACAGGGCTTCACAACAATTTTTCTGGAAGGGGGTCAGAATTTTGGGGGCTCAGACTCAGATTTTGAGGGCTCCATGTATCGCGGTGCACAGCCCTGCCTTTAACCCTTACTGTACTGGGCTATTTTGAGCACCTTGTGACTGAGAGGTCCCCCCCCCCCCCCCCCATGATCTCGGCAGTCGAAAGTCCAATGAACACAAAAATTTGCATGTTTGTAGATATTTACGTAAGGAACAAGATGGTACAATTAGTTTTTTCCTAATATGCAAATGTTTGTCGTAATAGCCTAATTAATTATGCAAAATGCTAATTTTATACATTTTACAATAAACTCTACATATTTGTCTGTAGACTTGTGAAGAATGTTGAAAATGTATTGAATAAATGTTGCCTTCATCTCAAATTCATGAGGTTACATTATTTTTATGATATTTGAAAATGCATAGGTTAATTTGCATAAATTATGAATACGCATTCATGAATACCAAATCTGGAATATACAGGAAACTAGATTCATTACAAAAAGTGTCAGACTTCTCTTTTTTAATGTTAATTGAAACTCATTATTTAAATAAATCTTCTTCTCTAACACAAAATAGTTATTTTGATATAATTAATAATGATAACTTATGCAAATTTAATGTGATTTTCAAATATTTATTTTCTTTTGTATTTCATTGTTTTTTATTTCTTATTATATCTATTGCTTTATTTCTAATTTATTCTTTTGTTGTGGAATACATCAAATTACTTTGAGAAACATATAAAAGCAATTTGTATCTCCCACTTAGGAAGAAACACATCTAAACCTGTATTCACGTTTCTGCTCGTACATGAATATATACAATTAGAGCATATTTTTGATGACATGGGCATACTAATTGTTATGTAACACCTTACAGGTATATCCGATTTCGACAAAAATGGTATCAAAATGTGCGTAAGACTTGAGGGGGAAAAGTCATTAAACGACAATTCAAAATTCCAAGCGGTTGCAGCGCAATCTCCGAAAATGTCGAGGGAATGTCAACTGGAATGCAAAATGACTTCAGTTCCTTGCTCACTCTGTTCTATTGGTCTGTTTCTTACCTACCCTTTATTGTCTTCATAGTCATACTCTACATACACTTTAACACGTGTATGTATCTGAGTTTTCTAAAACATCAACATTTTTGCTTCTATTTTTACTCCCTTTCAACCACAATTTCTTCTAAACACAAGTTCCCACCTACCTGTGACGGTGACATAAAAAGAGCAGCTTTCGAAGTTGCCGCTTGGGTCTGTGGCGGTGTACACCATGTAAGTGTATTCCACGACAAAGAAAGATCCAGAGCTCTGTGAGGCCGCAACGCTGGCTACACCAAGGGGCTCGGTCCAGCTGACGGTAGTTGGGCTGCTACCGATGGGGACGGTCACGTCGATGTTGCTTGGCCAGTTGAGGAAGGATGGTCGGGTGCCATCCGTTCCTGGATGAATCGTTCCTTGATGAATCATGATAAAGCAAAAATATCTCTTTAAATGGCATATCACCTTTACACTTTTCACCTGATCCGTACTGAGCATAGGCCTAAATCAGGACATTCAAAGAGAAGACTGATAACACTGCATGGCTCTGTCTTTTCAATGATCTATACCTATGCTAACTTACATATTTTTGGCATGCAGAGATGAGTTGCAATACATTTTACAGACAGATTAATAGCCTCTTGCTAAACATGTTATGGAGTAGAGTTTACTTCTACAAGTGCTCCTAAATTCATACAAGACGTGACCCAAATTTTTTTTTATTGCAGTCTGTGCATTTAATAGAAGCCTACGTACCAAGATTGACAACGATATTAAAGGAACATTATCAAACGTTGCTGAGGAAATCGGTCGCGGTGTAAGTGACGGTGGGGAAAGAAGAGGCGGAGTTGAATTTGCTGGTGACGGTGGCCACACTCGAGCTATCGGTAAAGATGGGTTTCCGTCCTGCTGATAGTCTGGGTACAAGGGCAGTTGGAGGGAACTGGGGCTGTGTTGTCTAAGGAAAATCAACAAGTTTATTAGAATAATATTAAGAGCTTATTTTCGACACTTAAGTTATGATCTTTGCTCGTTTGTCACACATGCTATTTTGAACAAAACGATAGGTACAAAATGAAAATCAAAGACGATTTTGATTTTGGTTAGGTTCTAGTGTTAGGTTTCTTTGGTCCAGAGTTGAAGTTTAGAATCATGATAAGGTAGCTAAGCTAATTGTAGGGGTAGAAAAGACGCAACTGGAATGTAAAATGACTTTAGTTCCTTGCTCACTCTGTTCTATTGGTTTGTTTGTTACCCTTTATTGTCCTCGTAGTGACACTCCTTTATTTTGTAAAATACCTAGAAATTTTTGTTCGGCTGATCTTACATATTCCAGTGATACGCAAGATTATTTTTTTTGAGGCGATTGGTACACTTTAACACGTGTATGTATCTGAGTATTCTAAAACATCAACATTTTTGCTTCTATTTTTACTCCCTTTCAACCACAATCTCTTCTAAACACAAGTTCCCACCTACCTGTGACGGTGACAGAAAAAGAGCAGCTTTCGAAGTTGCCGCTTGGGTCTGTGGCGGTGTACACCATGTAAGTGTATTCCACGACAAAGAAAGATCCAGAGCTCTGTGAGGCCGCAACGCTGGCTACACCAAGGGGCTCGGTCCAGCTGACGGTAGTTGGGTTGCTACCGATGGGGACGGTCACGTCGATGTTGCTTGGCCAGTTGAGGAAGGATGGTCGGGTGCCATCCGTTCCTGGATGAATCGTTCCTTGATGAATCATGATAAAGCAAAAATATCTCTTTAAATGGCATATCACCTTTACACTTTTCACCTGATCTGTACTGAGCATAGGCCTAAATCAGGACATTCAAAGAGAAGACTGATAACACTGATAATAAATGGCTCTGTCTTTTCAATGATCTATACCTATGCTAACTTACATATTTTTGGCATGCAGAGATGAGTTGCAATACATTTTACAGACAGATTAATAGCCTCTTGCTAAACATGTTATGGAGTAGAGTTTACTTCTACAAGTGCTCCTAAATTTATACAAGACGTGACCCAAATTTTTTTTTATTGCAGTCTGTGCATTTAATAGAAGCCTACGTACCAAGATTGACAACGATATTAAAGGAACATTATCAAACGTTGCTGAGGAAATCGGTCGCGGTGTAAGTGACGGTGGGGAAAGAAGAGGCGGAGTTGAATTTGCTGGTGACGGTGGCCACACTCGAGCTATCGGTAAAGATGGGTTTCCGTCCTGCTGATAGTCTGGGTACAAGGGCAGTTGGAGGGAACTGGGGCTGTGTTGTCTAAGGAAAATCAACAAGTTTATTAGAATAATATTAAGAGCTTATTTTCGACAGATCTTTGCTCGTTTGTCACACATGCTATTTTGAACAAAACGATAGGTACAAAATGAAAATCAAAGACGATTTTGATTTCGGTTAGGTTCTAGTGTTAGGTTTCTTTGGTCCAGAGTTGAAGTTTAGAATTATGATAAGGTAGCTAAGCTAATTGTAGGGGTAGAAAAGACGCAACTGGAATGCAAAATGACTTTAGTTCCTTGCTCACTCTGTTCTATTGGTTTGTTTGTTACCCTTTATTGTCCTTGTAGTGACACTCCTTTATTTTGTAAAATACCTAGAAATTTTTGTTCGTTTGATCTTATATATTCCGGTGATACGCAAGATTATTTTTTTTGAGGCGATTGGTACACTTTAACACGTGTATGTATCTGAGTTTTCTAAAACATCAACATTTTTGCTTCTATTTTTACTCTCTTTCAACCACCATCTCTTCTAAACACAAGTTCCCACCTACCTGTGACGGTGACAGAAAAAGAGCAGCTTTCGAAGTTGCCGCTTGGGTCTGTGGCGGTGTACACCATGTAAGTGTATTCCACGACAAAGAAAGATCCAGAGCTCTGTGAGGCCGCAACGCTGGCTACACCAAGGGGCTCGGTCCAGCTGACGGTAGTTGGGCTGCTACCGAAGGGGACGGTCATGTCGATGTTGTTGGCCAGTTGAGGAAGGATGGTCGGGTGCCATCCTTTCCTGGATGAATCGTTCCTTGATGAATCATGATAAAGCAAAAATATCTCTTTAAATGGCATATCACCTTTACACTTTTCACCTGATCTGTATTGAGAATAGGCCTAAATCAGGACATTCAAAGAGAAGACTGATGAGAAAAATTCCTATGGTACCATTTTAGTCAGTACCCTCGTTATTTGTCCCCTTGCAACTCCTACCAATAACACTGCATGGCTCTGTCTTTTCAATGATCTATACCTATGCTAACTTACATACTTTTGGCATACAGAGATGAGTTGCAATACATTTTACAGACAGATTAATAGCCTCTTGCTAAACATGTTATGGAGTAGAGTTTACTTTTACAAGTGCTCCTAAATTCATACAAGACGTGGCCCAAATTTTATTATTGCAGTCTGTGCATTTAATAGAAGCCTACGTACCAAGATTGACAACGATATTAAAGGAACATTATCAAAAGTTGCTGAGGAAATCGGTCGCGGTGTAAGTGACGGTGGGGAAAGAAGAGGCGGAGTTGAATTTGCTGGTGACGGTGGCCACACTCGAGCTATCGGTAAAGATGGGTTTCCGTCCTGCTGATAGTCTGGGTACAAGGGCAGTTGGAGGGAACTGGGGCTGTGTTGTCTAAGGAAAATCAACAATCCATACCTAGCTGTGTAGGTGACCTCAGTAGATCCAACAGCGAAGGAACTGCCTAGTAGTTAGTTGACCGTCAAGGAAACGGAGTCAAAGTTGTCTGATGCCACAGGAGCCAGCCATGAAACCACCGGGGTCGAGGTACCAGGGCTGGTATTGGCGACGATGTCGGTTGGACAGCCTGTCAGGATGGGGTTCTCTCTGTTGATGACCACTGTGACAAAGAAATTGGATGAAAATGATGTCAGAGATAGGGAATATGTACATGCAGCCTTCATCTTCAAAAAATATAAGTTGCTTCCTCTATCCAGAGATACAGTGTACATTTATTTCCTCAGATTTGGTACAAATTTGAATGATTTCACTACCTACATTTTTACAATTCTAATCTGCTCAAGAAACACAGACAAATGCCAAACATATAGCAACATGTTTATATGCAGGAAGCATTTGAACCAAAGAGTTGCTGTAATAGAATAAAGTGTTAACGTCATGTTCACTTGTCGTCCAGGTTACTGGTTTTAAACAGAGCCCGTCAATGAGGTTCAAGGCACAATCATTCACACATCAAGCTGGAGCAGGGCAAAGTCAGTGTTTGTCACCGATGTGATCACCACATCATGGTTTAGCACAAATTGTTTGAAACCAGCAACCTTGACAATGTGACCAGTATGACGTCACACCTTGGTACTCTATACATAAATGGGTCAGTTAAAACAAGTTTTTTTTTCAAAGCAAGATTTCACAATAATGTCTTACACTCTCAAAACAAATCTTTAAAATTATTAAAGGAAAATCACTGACCTCCACTTGAAGTGACAGTGACTTCAAAGCTGCATGTCGAGTAGAAACTAGCGTTATCGATAAGGTAATAGATGACCAGATAAGTGCTAACATCAAAGGAATCACCAGGCGAGAAGTTACTGACTGCTGTGATGGGTTGTGAGGCGTCGTACTGTAGGGACGTCCCAGGAGGCCGTGGCACTGCTGGCACAAGACGCAGCCTGGACGAAGACATTACTGGGACAAAACGTGATCTCTGGGGCGGTAGTGTCGCTGCCTTTTGTGGTGGAGGTCGAATTCAGTTTAAATTTTATTTATTAATGTAATGAAGATTAGGTCTGAGAAAGCTTCAATCAGAGAAAGTGAAAATGCTCCAAAGATGATTTACCGGTAGTCCGTGGTCAAATTTTCTACATCAACCAAATCCTGAATTCAGCTCAGGACCAAACACTTTATCTAATGCTCAATTAGTTAAAAGAACTAACCTGGAACCCAATACCAACCCTAATCTTAATCTTCAACAAAATAAAGTCTGGAGTAGTTTAGATTAACAGTTATAAAGGATCACCTTGTGATACGATTGAAAAATCAAAAAGGTCAAATGTGAAAGAGCTTTATTTTAATTGCTTCATGGTAACTATAATAAATAGGAATCACTTGTGTTTCAACCAACGGTAGACCTTTGCTGTATACATGGTCAATCAAAGTATCACCTTCAGTGGTTGATTGCTTTACATGTTGTGTATAGCCATGATTACACATCAAGTCTTGTATTCTAGATGACTGTTTTAATAAGTTATCATTGAAGTCCCCCATTACAATACATCTTGTGCCCACTTTATGTAGCTCTTCTAATAAGTTATTCAAACACTCACAGAAGTCTTTTATTTTGTATGTTGGAGGGCGATAAACAACTGCAATGACAACAGAAACAGGACAGGTTATAAGAAAAGCAATAAACTCTAGATTATCAATCTTTATATCAAGTCTGCTTGAAAATTCATTCTTGCTATAAACTGCAACACCTCCATGTGACTGGTCCTTGAACTGTTGCCTTGAATCACTTGTGATAGAATAAGAGTTATATCTTGATTGATGATACAATTTGAAATGAGCTAAGAATAATTCAAAAAGATCATCCTTATCCGATAGCCATGTTTCAGTCAAACAAATAATATCAGAATTCAGGAATGTTGGATTGCATTGTAAGTCTACATAATGTTGTTTTAATCCTTGAATATTGTGCAACATTATGCATAAACCATCATCATATGTTTCCTCTGCTATAGAAGTTTCCAAGAAATTGCTCATATCATAAAGGTGTTTTTTAATCTTTGGATCACAGTATATAACTTTTGGATGAAAATCTTCAATGGTAAGTCCAGATAAAGAAGTTACACGACTCAGGCCTACATAGCTATGTCCAGATGCAAATATTTTTTTCAGTGATACTACTACTTTATTTAAGGTCATGCCTTGTACTTTGTGAACTGTGCAAGCATAAGCCAATTTAAGGGGAAATTGCTTTCTTGTGTAATTTTTACCCATTGATTCTTCATACATTTTGATGGATTGAATACCAATTTTCTGGCTATCAAATTTTACACTGATGCAGTACGGCTTGGATTCGTTGTTTCGTTTTACTATTTCTACAACTGTACCTATACATCCATTTGTCAAACCTATATTGGTATCAATATTTTTTAAAAGCATCACTCTGGCATTCAAAGCAATTGACAGATTGCTAGGCAAAGAACTTTGACTAGATTTACATGGTTCGGTACGTACTGTGTCATCATCCTTGCTGTTATTTCTGTCTTCAGCTTTAACACATATAATTTCTTCACATTTACTGTGCAACATTCTGCTATTCCATTCATTTACTTGTTTATTAGTTGAATAGATGTGCATATCTTCTTCACATTCTTCACCAGTTTCACGAGAGGTAAGGATTGATAAATCTGCATCTGATAAAGTGTCTTTCTTTTCCTTAACTCTCAATCTATTCAAGAGTAGAGCAAATGCCAAATCTTCCTTTTGTCTCATTATTTCAACCAGTTCTACCTTTTTGAAATTTTCAGACCACAGCGATTGTTCTACTGATTCCTTATACAAGGGTTTTCCGTTCACAGGCGGTAATTGATAAAAATCTCCAACTGCCAGTACCGAAACGTTACCGAATGGACAATCAGTGCGTGATTGCCTAATTTGTCTTAATCGACCGTGTATGTAGTACAGCAATTTGGAATCTACCATGGAAATTTCATCTATGATCAAAATTTGCAACTGTCCAAGCTTATTACGAAGGGTGTTAATTTTTTCTTCACCAAGTGGTCGATAAGGAAATTTGGCTGTGATAGGAACTGAGAGCGCACTGTGAATTGTAGATCCTTCTATATTGAATGCAGCTATGCCAGTTGGTGCAACTTTCAAGATTGAAATGTCATCAGGATTAACCATCATTTTACCAAGTATGCGTACAGCTTCGTGGTATATACATTTTATTAAATAAGATTTTCCTGTTCCTGCACCACCACTAATAAGTACATGAAAAGGTTGACTTTCTGTACCATTCACTTTCTCTAAGCACCATTGTCTAATTTTGTAAAAGATTTCTTTTTGCTCATTGTTTAAACATCGAATCAAACTATTTGATTCATGTTTTGAAATTCCATGCCTTCGAAATTCCACACTAGAAGTTTCATTCTTTTTTTCATGTTTGAAATCTGGAATGTCCAATTCACATTCTGGTTCATCCATTTCAACTTTGTTCTTAGGATTTTCTAGTCTTTCTTTTTCACTTTCAGGACATAAAAGAGCCCACGCATCTTCTGGAGGACCAAATTTGTCCATGAAAAGTTCAGCTTGTTCAATGGCTCTTGAATTTCTTTCGTACTCTTTACAATGTTTGTCTACTATTGATTTTACACTTTCCAAATTGCGTCCCTGTAGTTTGACACTACCGGTTTTATAAAATTCCTGATATGTCTGAAACTGTGGTGGTTTTAACTGCTCATCATTACTAAATGGCAGGAAAAGTTGCAATATACTTAGGTAATATTTTTCTGGAGAAACTGTTTTAGAAAATCGTGGATATCTTACGACAGCAGCACTAGACCTTGTTCGTTTCTGAATGTATCCTGAATTATTTTTCAATTCAAATAAATATGGTGATGTTTTAGTGCCTTTCACTTGCGATGCAGTTAGTATTCTGTAACATGCGCAGAATTTTGCAAGACACATAGTGTCAAATTCACTTCCATTAGGTCTAGCTTTATATCGATCGAGTTTATTTGCCATCCATGGACTCCTATCGTCATCATCATCATCGTCAGGTCTACTTTGAATAACATGTAAAGGTAAACTCATTCTAACAGGATTTGGACCAACCGGAATAAATTCGACTTTTCGTGAACACTCTTTTAATCGAAGGGAACATACACGATACACACTCTCCTGTGCAGATACTTCTCGATTTTGCATGTAGACATTTCCGAGCTGTCTAATACTTTTTCTTGCATCATGATTTCCCTCATTTATTTCAGATTGAGCATGGCTTAAGAGCATTCCCATTTCTCTCTCTGATTTTGAAATGTATGATACAATATATCTAACACATGCATAAACATCCATAACAAATTGTAAGTCCATATTTGCATTCCATGCTCTCAGTAAAAAAGGATTGTACTGATTTATCCATACATCTTTGGGGTCTCTTTTCTTGATCAAAATTTCTTGTTTAGCTAATAACCTAGTTGCATTTTCAAATTCAGTCTGTGTTGTATTACAATCTTTAAAAAGGTCTGAGACATTAGTGTAATTATTTTCCTGATTTACAGCGTTTTTGATAGATTCTAATAATTGTTTTGCACTATCAATTTCATCGGGATTACCCTCTTTGGGATAAAGTACACATGTTCTATCAGATGGTGGTCTCGGAAAATTGAACCGACATGTTTTCCCCTTCTTTTTACAAGATTTTGAATGCTTTTTGCTATGCTGCTGCACATGAGTGATTATTTCATGGAGTTCTGGATCTTCTCGTTCGGATGGTATCTTGCAAGAAATGTATTTATCAATAAAGGAAACTACTTCCTCATCTGAACTATATCCATGCTCTGGTGCATCCTTTACCCAAATAAACAATGTGTGTGTGGAGATCCTCGCTGTTGGAATTCAACACGATAAAAATAATCTATTACATGACCAATGGGATGTGCTTCAGACAAAATAACATTTTTCAAAAAAGTATGAAATCTTTTGTCAAACATTCTTGCAACAGTCACTGGATTCGACTTTAAAAGTTCACATTTATCTGTCCAATCTAGGTCATTGATTTTTCGTTTATCACCTCTTTCCATTAATAAAGTATTTAATACTTCAGGCCATCTCATGTCTGCTGCCGAGAAACTTGCAAACCATGTAGGTATACCAAGCTGTCTCACCATGGCTAACAAATCTTTTTGTGTGGCAGACCAATATGGAGGAGAACCTCTTATCTGTTTCAGGAAGCGAAACCCTCTATCTGATTTTAATATGTCCTGAACTTTGTCAGTTTGTTTTAAATCTTTGATAGTGATTGGTGCATCAGTATCACTTTTACTTGATGTTTTTCTCAATGCAATTGAAACACCGGACAAAACTTGTTGAATTTCATAAATGCACTGAGCATAAAAAATGAAATCTGTATTTTTAGCAAAGCGATTATCTACGTGCATTAGCCTATTTTGTAGATATCTTCCAAGGGTCACTCGTACACTTCTGAAATCATGATAAGTTGGTTGACCTTTTGGAAATAATACAGGAAAAGATTTAGGTTCATTGCTTTCATCTCTCAGAAGTGCTATGGGATTGTTGCCTTCACATGGAGCACAACAGAAAATATCATCAAAATGTTGATCAAGGATTTCTTGTCCAATATCAACTGGTTGCAAGCAGGTATCAAGTTGAATTCCATTTAACCTTGCTTCTTGGTCATCGGTTTCCTGTTTTTCAAAGTTTTGAATTGAATCGTCATTGTCGTTTGTTTCTGCACCACACATTTCTCCTGACAACGAATTATTCCAGTTTTCATTAATACTTATATCAGAATACCACTTATTGTTTTTCTTCAAATAGTGCAACCCATTTAGCACCTTAACTTTATTAACAAATTTATACTCATGATGGCCTTTATAAGATATTTTCCTTTTCAATTTCACACGGATTAATTGATCTTCTCTTTCTGGTGGAGGTAGCATATTTACAGTTTTCATTGTATTCGAAGGCACACAAACAACTGGTCCATGAACTGCATTTTGACCTCCCTTAGGTAAACGGATTAATTTGAAAAAACTAATGTTACGTGCAATTAAATGTTGTTCTAAATTATTCAAGTCCTTCAATTCTTCTGGAATCTCATGCAATTGCAAACTGTTAACACTAGCCTCAGCTGGTAATTTATTCACCAACAATTTTCTGTGGCATGTAAAGCATATCCATAAATGTCCACGAGATGAGTGAGCCAATTGACAGTTTTCACTACATTGTGAACTGCAAATGTGTAAATAGGACTCATTTATACATGTTTTGTTTTGGTAATTTTGTTTAATGCATTTTAAGACTTGACTTTGAAAAAGCAATTTTAAACATACACAACAGACATATTCTGGTCCATGAGAAATAACATTTCTAAAATTTCTTAGTACATTTTCTAATTTTTTAAAACTTATTTTCTTAAGTCCAGCACGTTCTTTATTTTTTTCTGCGAGTCTCTGCCTATAATGCTGGTTAGACTGATACTTATGTTTTATTTTCTTCTTGTGTTCATCTCTGAAGGATTTGTTAGATTGATATTCTAATTTTATTTTTTTCTTGTGTTCATCTCTAAACAATATATTAGACTGATACTTATGCTTTATTTTTTGCTTGTGTTCATCTCTGAAAGATTCGTCAGACTGATACTTCTGTTTAATCTTTTTCTTCTTTTCATTTCTAAACGATTTGTTAGACTCATATTTCAATTTTATTTTCTTATTGTGTTCATCTCTAAACCATATATTAGACTGATACTTATGCTTTATTTTTTGCTTGTGTTCATCTCTGAAAGATTCGTCAGACTGATACTTCTGTTTAATCTTTTTCTTCTTTTCATCTCTAAAACTTTTGTTACAGTGATACTTATGTTTCATTTTTGTCTTCTTTACATCACTGAAATCTCCTTTGAATTTGCAACCATCCATGTCACTTGCATAATTCTCATTGTTTTGTACATTTTCGTATGCATCATGATCATTAATTTGTTTTCGTTTTGCTTTCATCCTTTCTTTAGCTAATTGTTGTCGTTTTTTTAAGGACTGCTTACATTTGCTTTTCTTGTTTTCTTTTTTAATTTGTTTTTTAGGAAATTCAATTGTAGACTCTTTTACTGGAATGTTTGTACCTTGAAAGTTAGCACTAGATTGCGTTTTCTTCATACCTTTCAATAGATCAAATGAAAGATTCTTTATTTCAGATTCAGATAAACGTACAAGTCTAATTGACACTTTTTTCAATACAATTTTTTCATTCCGTATCTTTAAAGGGTCATTTCCAATGAACACGTTTCCTTTATTTAAAACATCAGCAACACCTCTATTCATAGTATTACAATTGTCTGATGGATAACTAGGAATTTTAGAAGCTGATTTTTTATCCCTCTCATCGTTTTCCAGTTTTGGTTCTTTTGTTTTGCAATATCTATGCATTTTTGGAAAAGACATCTTTTTCGACTTGGCACACTTTACACTTTCATGAATTGTGTCACCTTTTCTCTTTCTTTTGGACATAAAAATGTCTTCACTTTTTCCGCTTAGACTTGGGATAAACGTTTCTTCAATTTCATCTTTCGTTGCACAAGATGCATATTGTTTGGATAGTTTACTTTTGTCTTTAAGCATTTCACTATTAATAGATCTCTTTTTATTACATGTAACTTCTTTTGTTTGTTTTCCTTCGTCAATAACCGAATCAATACAATTAACAGATTCAACATAATCAAAATGGACCCCTTTAACATGTAATAGATAAATGCCCATATTTGATTCATGTACAATGCGTCCAGGGTTATCCCATGAATATAGTCTCCACTTTAGATAAATATCACTAAATATTAATATGTCTGTTTCAAGCAGATGGGCCATCACGGCAATTTCTACCTCTGTGGCCCATTCACCATTGATGTCTGGCTTATTTTTACTAACATAGTCTTTAACTGATAAAAATTCATATCTTAAACAACCAGCAAATAAGTGCGAGTTTTCCAGCAAATGTTGGATACACTTTTGCCTCAAAAATTTGTGATTGCCTTCCTTCCCTGTCAGAAAAAGAGAGATTGCCCGGTAAAAACAATTTCCATCGCCAGTAATATTTGAAATAATAGCAGGAGTCCCAATATTAATGCATGTGTCGATATCTGATTTCGAACTGATACATGTATCTGTAATATTAAATCTAGCACACATTTTTTTCTTTTCACTTGAATGGACTGGAAAATATTTGTAGTTATTTGTAATGTATTCTGTATCAATTACCATGCAGTCATCATCATCAACATCATCTATATTGATAGAATCAGGCCTATCTGAGGGACCACCACTAAACAAATCTTTGCAATAATTTGTATCATGCTCTGCATCAATTATTATGCAGTCATCCTCATCATCATCTATTTCAATACAATCAGACATATCTGTCGAAAAACTGCTTGCGAAATATCTGCAATCATTCCGATCATTTTCAGTATCAATAATATTGCAGTCATCTTCATTGATTTCAATAGAATCAGGCACATTTGTGGGAACACATCTATTACTTTTGTCAGTTCTATCTGTTGGCAAGAAAAATCCATCATTACCTTCAACTACATTTATACAGTCCTGTTCATCTTTTGCAACATGACCATTATCACCATGTTCTGTCACAGTAATCTCGCTTGAATTGATAAGATTCACAATTATACCTGTAAGTTCAAATTCAGTCTGGTTTCTATTGATACCCATAGATTCAGCTAATTTCAAAATATGATCGTACACACCTTCCCAGTTTGATGAACATAGAATGACACTGGTCCCACCATCTGTCATAAGTCCATGCCTATCTCTTGAATGTGAATCAAAAATAAAATATTGTTCTTGTGTGGATATGATTGCAAATGTTTGGCCACCAAATGTACAAAAGCATGCATCATGTCTATCTAATTCCTGATGGAGAGCATCTTTTAATGTTACTGCATTAAAATGACTTAAAAAAGATTCATCTCCACAAATTATACCCACAACACTCTGAGAACATTGCATCTTAAAATGGACATCAAAAGCTTCTAATTGATCAGGTAACTCAGATATCAATAAGAAATCTTCATTTATTGCAGAACTAAGCTGAATAAATCTATACAACTCATTACCATAATTCAATACCTTGTCAAGATCTTGTTTTTGCCATTGGGAAACATCTGTAATTTTACTGTATAAAATAGCAGCAAAACTGTTGGAAACACATTGCTTTCCAGAATAAAATCCAAATCTAGCATTTCCTTGATGAAAATTGCCCAGGGCAACACATTGCACAAGTGTATTTTGTTCCATATTTGACATGTTCTCATTTGGTATTTGCTTCTCTTCTAAATTTACATTAGAGGTGTTGACTGACTGTTTATGAAATGTACTATCATGTTTCATTTCAAACATTTTCATAGGAATAGACTTGTCCACATGTTGCTTACAATCTTTATCCACCTTTACTTCACCCGCGTTTTCAGTCTTTCCGTCACATACTTTTCCTTTATCATTTGGTTTTGCACCACCACATACTCGAAATGTGCTCTGTTCTTTGCCCTTATATTGTTTTAAAAAAACATGACTGCATGTCGCACTGCCAACAATAGAATGTTCCTGTATTATTTCATTTTGTACATGGCCTACTACATCAGCCCAAGATTGTTTTTGCTTCATGTTATTTTCTTTGTAGAGTTTCGTTTCATGGGACATCATAGATTTTGGTGATTGCACACACTTTGAGTATTCATTTAGCAATTTTTCTGCGTACATTTGAACATTATTTTCCAATACATTCTGACATTCTACATCTCTGTTTAGTTTGATGTCTACTTTGCGTTTTGATATTTTACTTTTTCGTCTTTCGTAGAAAGATTTCATTGCTTTGCCAATGTACGTTACTCCAGGTTCTAAAACAACACCATTTATGATTCTCTTTTTCTGACCTGTTCCACTGTCACTTTTTGCTGTTGAATGTGATATTCTGTCTTGGATCTTTTCCAACATCTTTGCCTTTTTTGATTTCACTTTCATCCATTCATTACTGCCTACTTCTTCGCTATGCACTTGATCACGTTGTTTGGGGGAATCTCTTTGAGTGACTAGATGATCATGTTCATGCGTGTCAAACTCACTTGATTTCATTACTTTTACACTTTGATTTCCTGGCTCTATAATGATTTTCTTGCATTTCTTAAAATACCTTTTCTTTGATCTGCATTTCTTGTGTTTGTCATTTTGCTTGGTTAAGAGGAGCACATCATCATTGAATACTTCATCCACTGTCTCGAGAGGCTGGTATCTATTGATATGAGAGGGGATACATACTTTATCAAATAGTCGATGTGCAATGTTGTTATTTCCACAATATGAACATATCCAGATTAATCTTTGCTCATTTACTAGATCTTGACACAAAAAGCCCATACATGTTACATGATAATGTTCATTGCAGCTCTCACAAGTAGCTTTGTTTTCACTTTCTTCAATTGTATTTTTACAGACACAACATTCTTCATTATGCGGATCGCATGTATATAGCATATCTACAATATCTTTCATCACTTCCTTGAATTGATCAATTTCAAGTTCCATAATTAAGAAATATAAAATTCAGTAATATGAAATAGGTTAGAAAAGTTCAGACAGCTTAGTATAAAATAGATTTAGAGATCTTGTAGGAATAACTTTTGTGATTAAGAATAGATTTAGAAAGTTTGTAGAATAAGAGAAGATTTGTGAAATTTAGAAAATTCAGTAATATAAAGTATCACAAGTAAAAAGTAGGACTTCTTCTGTAGCAAACATTTAAGACTTCTGTGATTAGGTATAGAATGCTTCTGCATGAATATATAATAATGTTCTCATAATTGCTTTTGTAAATTTTTCATTTGTTTTTGCAAGTGTGAAGATGAAATGGGATGAAATGGATAAAAGACACAGCCAATACGGTCTACAAGAGACAGCTGTGGTACACTCTCTTCGGAGAGCAGGATCTTTCTGAGATAAAGAAAAGTGAATGATGAATATACGTCTGAAGACAGTTGGGAAGGGAATATGGGTGAAGATGAAATGGAATTGTTCAGTCCGCCAACAAGCTCAATGAGAATGAAAGGAATGTAAAAGTCTCCGCCTAGGAAAAGAAAAGAACCATAAAATTAGAATATGACATGTAAATCTTGGAATGATCAGTTGTACAAAGTTTCATTTGAATTACAGACAAAATGTACATAATTTTAAATACTGTATCATACATTCCCATCTACAATCATGTCACATAAACATTTCATAATTTTCTAAGTCATTCTTATCAATTATCACTTTTTTAATCTCTTGAATGTTAGTTATCTTACATTTTTTCCCATTGCTTTATTAATAATATTCCATGTTTTCTTCGAGACTTTTCTTTAAATATTTCTTTATCTCAATCTTAATCTTATTATTTGATTTATTACAAATTTTCCTATATATTTCTTTTCTATAATCATTAGGATTTTTAATATACAACTTATATAGTCACATATTTTCTTACTCAACTTTATAATTTTATTTGTAATCCAAGGTTTATTTTTACGCTTATATTTCATACACATTAATTTCACAGGGAAACACGAGTTATAGTTTTGTGAATTTAAAAACAAAGCTATCATAAATATTATTTACATCACTAGATAGATACCATTTACCTTGAATACAGCAAATGCAAACAAATTCTAATATTATTTTTCTTTAAATCATGTTTAAAAAAGTCAGTTTCACAGGTACATTTGTGAATAGCCATATCACAAATACAATATACTGGGAAGTGGTCAGAAATGTCAGTTAATAATATTCAAAAATAAATATGGCAAAAATCATATAAATATATCATCTAATAGCGATGAAAATCTGTCAGTAAAACAGGTTGGGTAATTTATAAAAGAATCATGGAATGTAGCATTAAAATAAACCTACTCTCCAGAAACTTTGCTTCTCCTAAAGTCCAAATCACTCAATTGATGCCATCAGTCTTCAAAAGAAAAATAACAAAGTAAAAAGTAAAACATGACCAAAATATTTATTTAAACAAGTCAACGCAAAGCGTAGCATCCCCTCGCAGGGTACAAATGGCCTACATATACATCAAAACAAGTTACCTCCATTGGGGCTATACTATTATATTAGCAGGCAAGGAAGTTGACCACATTTTTACAGATATAATTAGGTGTTTTTGCTTATTTAATGAGCTACATGTATGACTTTTCTCCTTTGACCTACATACTCCGAGATCAAACTTAGGCTGTATTTTGATACCATGACCTTCATATCAAATTTTATTAAAATCCGCTAAACGTTACTAAAGTTATCAAACAAAAACCAGATTCGTATATTTAATGAGCTATGACACTTGACCTACATACTCAAAAATTGAACTTAGGCTGTGTTTTGATATTATGTACCTTTATTTCGAATTTGATTAAAATCTGTCAAACATTAAAGTTATCAACAAAAACAAAAAAATCGCATATTTAACACTTTGGAGACGACGGGATTCTACAGAAGACGAGCAACTTTTTAAGTCTGTGACGACGGGTTTCTACAGAAGCCGAAATGTATCCCCAATATTTTTCCAGCTTATCATAAGCTATTATGTGCTAAAGTTGTTTAAAGTATTATTTAGATATATTCATTCATTTCATCTATTAAAAAAAAATTACGTTACGTGGAAAAAAAGTGATATCATTTCAACTTTACCCTAAGTTAGTGTTCGGATCGAAAAAAAAGCCCTTGAAATACCGGTACAGCTGGAGACGGATCAGTGATTGGATTATTTTCGCTGAGCAATATGAGAGGGCGTTGTTTTCCTTACATTTTCATAGATGTATTGTAGTTATTCATATAATAATATTATTAGGCCTATAGTAGGCCTATTCATAAAGACCTAGGACTATTCCTTTTAAATAAAATTTGCTATATGCCGCGTTTCACTTGCCCACAAATTACCAAGCTTACCCTCAACTGTGTAGTATATAAGTACGCATTTATAAAAGGACTTGGTAATTCTTCTCCCCTGTAATTACCAGTGCCGGAACTCTGACTATACCCTTTTCATTTTATCAACTTGACCAATTTAGCGAATCATTCATGTATGGATCTCCTCTTTTATAAAACGCCTATCTCAGCTGCCTGGACCGGACCCCACCCTAAGAGGAACAAATAAATGTAAAGAAGTAACTACCATTGTTCAGTAGCTACCATTGTTGAAGAAAAAAAATGCAAGTTTTCTGGCAATAAAAAAAAGCGAGTGCAAGATGAAGAAAATAATTTGTATTACCATTACTACTTTATTACAATATTGTAAGCATCATCAATTCATCATCATCATCATCATCATCATCATTTCATATATACATTGTACATGTACATACCATTTACAAAACTGATCATGAAACAAGGATTAACAAAGTTTTATTGACACGATAGATTGAGCGAAAACACAAATGGAGACGAAAACAAATAAATTGAATTCTCACAAGGGATTTGACCAAAACCAGTCTAGATGTTCAATGGTTATCCTGATAAATGGGATTTGTGTGTCATTTTATTTTATAAAATATATTTAGGTAATAGTGGTAAGATGATAATATGATAAGGCACACAACGGCTTTTTTTTTTCAGATGGCAGTTCTATTTGAATAATCATGATCCCCTCCCACATTGAAAAAAGTAAAAGGCAGATATAGATTTACAAATGTTTTGCCTTATTTGTTTTTATATGTGTTCTATTAACAACATGATATATTACCATTATCGATTTCCTGTCACAGCCAAAAAGGGGGGTGGTGGCATGACTAGCTTTTTATTGTTGATTGCTATCATTTGTGTATTGCCCCCGAATCACAGTCATTTGTTTTATACATATTGGTATTGTTTTAGTGTGCCTATGTTTCTCATCATTGTCCACCTCAACTGTTGTGTTTTTGTTTGCACTTTTTTCCTTATTGTTTCGTAACATGTATTGAATTACTATATTTTAAATATCATTTATTTTTTTTAATAAATAAAGGACTACCAAGACTACGGTGATTAACTCCTTTTTAGCCACACCCTTTCAACAAAAACAACAAAACAAAAGAACAGCGCGATGCGGAAATAAATTACACTGAAGCACAATTCCAATTTTACGAAATTGCTGACATATTCAGAGAGGGAGGGGAACGAGGGAGAAAGAGAGAGAGAAAGAGAGAGACAGAGAGACAGAGACAGAGATAGATAGATAAATAGATAAAAAGAGAGAGAGAGTTGATTGTGATAAATTACGATTTTGTTTTAATCTCTGTCATTCATTTAGCTCTTTTCATTACAAACAAAAAAATCAAATATGCGTACAAAAATTCAATAAATCAGCAACCTCATATCAAAATAGGGTTTTAAGAGATGTATAGATAAAGAAAAAAATAAACAAAATTAAGCGGGAGCCAAACTAAAACAAAAAATTAATATTTCAAATTATGAAAAACTATTAAGTCGAAAGCATTCAAAGTAAATATTATTTTTGTTTTCGAGAATAAAACAATGTTCATCTCAAAATTCATTTCCCAAATAGTCCTATATTTGATTTGTGTTGTATCTCTGATACACTATAACATATGTGCTTTACCTGAGAGTTATTGTCTTATTGTCACTGGCTGGTATGTATATTACATTGGCATGTACATTACATTAGCATGTGCATTACATTGGTATGCATTGCAGCTGGCATGTCCATTATGCTGTTCTTTATACATAACAATTTGCACATTTTAAAAAAGGGCATTTACTGTAGATCATGGCATAATGTTGGTCAGAATATAGTTACAAAATGTGTCGAAAACCCATGTAAAGCGAAGGCTTAGACCTATTTTTAATATACAACTTATATAGTCACATATTTTCTTACTCAACTTTATAATTTTATTTGTAATCCAAGGTTTATTTTTACGCTTATATTTCATACACATTAATTTCACAGGGAAACACGAGTTATAGTTTTGTGAATTTAAAAACAAAGCTATCATAAATATTATTTACATCACTGGATAGATACCATTTACCTTGAATACAGCAAATGCAAACAAATTCTAATATTATTTTTCTTTAAATCATGTTTAAAAAAGTCAGTTTCACAGGTACATTTGTGATTAGCCATATCACAAATACAATATACTGGGAAGTGGTCAGAAATGTCAGTTAATAATATTCAAAAATAAATATGTTCTTATTCCAAATATGTTGTAAAAAAAACCTCTCCCACACCACATCTGTTCAGAGCCAGAAGGGCATTAATTCTGAGTTACATCCTTCTCGTTGCACACATACAATATTATTAAATAAACCAATTTTACCGTACCTGTTCCACAATATTAAAATAAAAAAAATAAAACAGCAGTCTCTTACCTGTATAATAGCAGCATTCAACACGATAAGGTTAACACCACACACGTTGTATTCATTGATGCAAAAGGAGAAAAAGAAAAAAAACAAAAAAACATTTAGCAAAATGTAATGATATACATGTAGGTCTATTACAGTACATTAATGACAAAAATCATAGAGATCATTTGATGAGATTGATAAAAATAAACACAACATTGTTAATTATATTGATTAATGTCAGACTACTCAAGTTTTATTTAGCTGGTAGCTTAGCACAAATTTAGTGGCATGAAAGAATGCGTCCAGTAAGCAAAGTACATAATAGTTCATGAGAACTAGAGATGAAAACTTGTAATTTGACATGCCCTGATGACATTTATTTTGTAATATTAATAGCAATCAAGGTACAGTAGTACAGCTGTAGAAAAAATTAGTAAATCTGTGTCCTGACTCCTAATCATATATGGTTTTACCTCAATGGAACAATTAAAATTAAAAAAAACAATTGTACAATTTGCGTTACAACGTGTCCATTAAAGATAAAGACCATTTATGGTCATGCGATTGCATTGTAAAAAAAACGTTGTGGAATCGATCAGTAAAGGTTGATCATCTAGCATATAAGTATTGGTATGTACTGCAACTTGCAAGGTTCTAGAATCATCAAAATGATAAGAAATTTAGCCCAGTTTTGATAAAGTTACAAGCACTGTACACAGAAAGATGTATATGGGACTACCTACCTACACACGTGTGTGACACGTGCGTTATATCTATCAGGTCCAAACAGATATAATACTTTATCAAATATATCAAATAGTAGACAGTTTCTCAGCAACAGGGAAAAAATTAATATTTATTTTTCGGGGGCTACTTTTCAACCTTGCCTGCATTTCAACCTTGCCTGCATGAAAATAACGTTCTAAAATTTGTTTTGCATTGAACTCTATGCAAATTTAAGGGGGTTCTTTTCTGATTTTTGGGGGCTCTTTTGGGCATTTCGGGGGCTATTTCACCCTGAGCCCCCGTGTTTTTTTTCCACGCATTAGTCAAAACATATTCTTTTACATGATTGGTAATAAGAGCTTTCATTTTATTTTATGAGGATGGCATTTCCCAAACTGGTCTTTATGTTTAATGCCACTGCTTTGTACCAAGCTACCTTTGTAGAAAATTCATAACTTTCTTATTAGTTGTCTGATTTTGCTCTAATTTTTTTTGATTGGTTTGTCTGATTTTTCTGCTTCTATGGAAAGTAATTAATTTTTTTAGAGTGGATTTGTCCTTTAAAGCCTCACTGCACTACTTATAGCTACATGGGCCCTCTATACAGCAAACAATGCCTAATTGGTGCCTGTTGGTCCCCCATGATCCCCTTTTTCCTATGGTAATTGAGAGCTGATATGCTGAGATAACCACCTGTCAGTGACCTTGCAGGAAACTCTAATCCCCCTGGCCAAACTAGTACAGACAGGCTTTAAAGGGCAAGTCCACTCCAAAATAACTTGCTTTCAATAAAAGCAATCAAAAACAGTTTGAGCAAAATCGGATAACTAATTTATTATGAATTCTTAATAACATAAAAAACTCTGAAAATCACAAGACAAATTGGCAACTACTGTACATGTAACTCATGAGTCTGTGACATCATTGCCTCACTATCCACTAATTGTTTTTTTATATTCAGCATGTTTCCACAGGAAAAAAGTGAAATACGGATTATCTTTTCTGGAATTGAAATACCGTGTCGCGATGACACGGTATTAAACCAATCTGTTTCCACAGAGCGCAGCATTCCGATTCGCCCAGATTCCGTGTTCCAAGTCAGGCAAATACCGTGTTAATCGGAAGTCAAGATTCAACCTTTGACCTCGATCATGGATTCAGATCTACACAGGATTCCACGCTATTCTATTGTGACGTACATTTGTCATTGTTATGTACAGCGCGGAATAAACATATTATTGTATATGCGTATCTCAAAGTATTTTTCAACCAATCACGCTGTAGTGGTGATTGAGGCTTCACGCGCTCTGATGATCCGCCAGACACGGTTTGTCACTGTGTGTTTCCACAGCGATTTCACGCAAAATCGCAAAATCTCACAAATCATGTATGTAACGTGGGTAAAGGCATGGGTAAGTCAAGTTTTGGGGGATAAAAAGTTTGCATAATTTTGGACTGATAGCTTCAGTTTGAGTTGCAAAGCTATAGCGTAGAGACGGTACTGAGCGACAACATTGACACCTTAAACGGAGGTTTCCCGATGTCGGATGTGATCCAAATTCAGGTGGAAAATGTGATATACTAGATCTATGTCTCAGTTAGACCTAGACCCTATTAGGCCTAATTAAAATTAGTAAAAAATTGGGCTAAATTTCCTTTGCTAAGAATGGATATGAAACTGCTAAAAAAATGGATACAGAACTACACTAGCACCCAACTCGGCCCGCGCCCAGCTGCAAAAACTGTCATTTTTTGTCATTTTACCCTAACCCTAACCCTAACCCTAAACCTAAACCTAACCCTAAACCTAAACGTCCAAAAACTGACCGTTTTTGTACCTGGGCCGAGTTTTCCCCAACTCCCGCCAGAGTTACATTGATTTACAGGTCAAATTTTGGCTAGTTTTAGACTTCTAAACTAGCACCCAATCTGCAATACCTGCAATGGCTGCATCAACATTATCGCAAACATTAAAATCACAATCTGTATAGACTAGGCCTATATGACTAATCTATAAAGACTAACACTGTGGTAGCCTTGGTAGGGTATTCTGCACATGATACGCATTTTGTGGGTCGGTGGAATTGTGTTGCACACGGTAACTTTGGCCTGGTCTGAAACCGTCTGAAACACCCTCAGCTCAACTACGGCACGCCACACAATTCTTACCGACCCACTCATACTCAGCATCTAGGCGCTAGGCCTACAGTACCTGCGCATCATTTGCACTAATTTATTGGGGTGCAACATGTGGAAAAAAAAGTCAAAAGTCATAATGACACAATAAACCGCTATGCATAGTGAATGAGTGGTGACCGAATTTTCTACGTACAAATATGAATTGATTCACGATCATTTAATAATACATAGACTATAAAAACAGAGATTTTATACAATTACAAGAGCAACCAAATGCTTACCTTTGCAAGCTCGATTTACAGCACATGGAAAAACACAATTTTTCTATACGGTGTATTTAAAGGACAAATCGATATTTAAAAATATTTGTTTTAATCTACAATTTTAACTCTGTCTCTGCTTCTCTTTTTGTATATAGTCTCTCGATCCCCTTTGTCTCTGTATCATGTCAGTGTCTCATTTAATAGTTTATTACATGTATACAAATTAAATCAAGAAAAATTTGAGAATTTTTTTATCGTTTGGCTTTTTACTGCCATGCATACTAACAACCATTTCTATTTCTATAACATCTTATAGATGTTGGATTATTGCTATGGATGGGTAAAAATTTAATATCTAACTCATGTTTTATATTAAATCAGGACTAAATAAATCACTGTGTACATGACTTAATATAAAACAATATTTAAATAATTTATTTGCATATTTAATTGCTCAAGACTTGACAGATGATCGACACATGCATGAAAGCATCCACATCCATAGTGCGTCAAAACGTTATTCAAACGGCAGTAGATCTATCAATACGGCACGGTCAGAGGCGGCCCTCCCGGGGGGGGGGGGGGGGGGGGGGGGCACAGCGCCCCCCCCCCACTTTTTCAGATACCCCAAAAGTGCCCCTTTTATTTTGTAACGAGTGCCCCTTTTACATAGGAAAAATGCCCCTTTTACTTTGACAAGTGCCCCTATTACTTAGTAAACGTGCCCCTTCCCCCCTTTTCACCTCTGACGAGTGCCCTTTTTATTTTTGACACGTGCCTCTTTTCCTTTGACATGTTCCCATTTTCCTTTGCAATAAGTGTCCTTTTTCAATTCTCATAAATCTTGAAATTATCTTCAATAATTAGTGCCATTTTTAATCTCTAGTAAGTGCCTCTTTTCAGGTACGAAAAGTGCCCCTTTTCAGTTTTGATAAGTGCCCCCTTCACCTCTGATAATTGCCCTATTCAAAACTGAGAGGTGCTCCTTTTACTCTGACAACTGCCCCTTTTTTCCTTTGTAAAAAGTGCCCCTTCTCCTTTTAATAACTACCCCTTTTTTAAACTCGGATGAGCACACCTTTCATTTTAATATGTGCCCCTTTTATTTTTTAATAAGTGCCCCTTTTCCTTATGATAAGTGCCCCCATTAAAAAGAGAGAGCTCCTTCCCCTTAACTACCCCTTCTCCTTTTTAATAAGTGCCCCCTTCTCATTCAACAAATGCACATTTTCCTTTATTATAAGTGCCCCTTTTACATTTTCATAAGTGCCCCTTTTCACCTCTGATAATTCCCCTTTTAATAATGACACGTGCCCCTTTTACTTATAAATGCCCCTATCAAAATCTGATGGGTGCCCCTTTTCCATCAACAAATGCCTATTTCCCATTTTCGTAAACGCCTCTTTTTCATCACTGGTGAGTGCCTCTTTTCAGGTGAAAAAATGCCTCATTTTCACCTCTTATAATTATCCTTTGTACTTTGACACGTGCTCCTTTTCTTTTTTAATAAGTGTCTTATCCCTTTCGATAATTGCCCCCTTTTCATGTAATCATTAAACGTGCCCCTTATTTAAAGCGACTAAGAACAATTTCCCCCAAAGTTCGCTCGCTGCGCTCGCTCGCATTTAAAGATGATATAATTATGTTACTTATCAAAGGTCTTTTCAGTCTTCCGTTATGAAAATGTGCTTATAACCCCATCACGATTGGCTTTTTTCCTCTATAGAAGATGTTATTTTTCGCACTGCGACCTCACAGATCTTTAAAAATGTTCTCGCTCGCTTCGCTCGCTCGTCAATGCATAGTCAGACATCATACCCAACTGTACAATATGATGCTTAAGCGATATCTTGTATGATGTATGAAGAGAAACAAATAATGAAATCCTCCCTGATTATGTAATCACAATGTAGGGGTATATACCAATTAATGTCAAAAAAATTGTATATTTTCGCTTTGAGATTTCCCAATGTAGGTGCCCTTTTTTTTCCAGAAAGTGCCCTTTTTTGTTGGTGCCCCCCCCCCCCCACTTTGGAAATCGCTCGGCCGCCCCTGGGCACGGTCGAATTAGCCGTAACTCAGTTTAGATATAGTCCTTATTAGTCATAATCAGCTCTAATGACATCATTGTTGCGTATTTAGTGCGTCGAAGTATATCTCTGCAATCAAGCAAAAATTTGAGCTTGTTTAGTAATAGTTACCGGTAACAGTTATCATTTAAATAACAATCCTCTATCGAACAGCCTACCTAAGGGGCGCTGTGCCACTTTTAATCATGGTCATCATTATCACTAATATCGTCATCGTATTTATGAACATTATTGTTTTTGATTATTGCTAACACTGTTATGATCAGTATTTAAGAGCCCATTTGTGCTAGCAATATTAAAGGCATTGTTCTCAATTGCATCTCTCTTCTCTCTTGTTCTGTCCCTCTTTTTTTTTTTTTTGGGGGGGGGGGGTCTGTCTCTACATCTATCTATCTCTATGCTCTTTCACCCCCTCTCTCTCTTGCCTCCCTCCCTCTCTCTTATTCTCTTGCTCTGTCTCCCTCTGCCCTACATAATTTAAACCGTGACAAGTTTTTTTAATGTTTTTTTCTACTGTAACTTATTACTAAATTTATAAATCCACTGTTTTTAAACGATACAATGTAAACCAAGTATTGTTATGTTCAGACTTTTTATTATATTTGAATAAAACAGAAATAATGGTTATATCACTTTGTTAAAAAAAAATACACAAATGAATACCGGTAGATTACAATCAACATATACACTATTACAGTTACAATTGTCAATATATTCATAACCTTATTACGATCGTATTTACATGCATTGAGATTTCACAAGATTAAAGCCCCTCTAAAGTGTTGGGAGTTCAAATTTGCCATTATTTTATGGCAAAGTTTCTCTTAAAATTGTTCAGTGATGTAAAACATGATGTCATTTAACACATTATGTAACAAACTCATATTGTTTCATAATTTTTTTTTTTTTACAAAATCAATAATAAATCTATAACAAAATTGTACAGATGCAAGTTTATACAAATGCATTAATGTTATTTTTATAAAAATAAAAAAATCAATTCAAAGCAGTTGACCACTAAAAAAAAAAAAAGGCATGCAAAAGATGTGCGATTTCTTACACAATTGTTACCTAATCTGCAGTTGCAATTGCAATTAGATATATAAAATTTAAGTTTAATAAATGGTCCCGCAAAAAATATTTCTTTTTCTTGTATCATTGAAATAAATTTGAACTACAAGTATCACTTTGTTCAGTATAAAATAAACATCCCTCAATCAATTCGAGATATTATATTTTAATTTTAATTTTTTACACTGTTTCTTAATTTCAATATACCCTGTATAAAGAAATATTTCAACAATTAAATGATTATTAACCATAATAATCATAACAAACCAATAATAAAGTGATACAATGCATGATTTTATAAGTTAATATATGTCTCATTTTAAGGCCAAAAAAGAAAAGGTTAGATTCCACAATTTTAAGTGGTTGAAAAGACGCCTCAAAAAGACGAAAAACATTGCAAGTCAAAATTGTAATTACCACATTTTTTTACATTAAAAAAAAATGTGACCCAACCCGCTGCCGTTTGAATCATTTCCAACGCAGTCTCTGGAGACCCGACGCCTTTGGCGGCGAAGCTCCCTGGAGTTAATGTTATGTACGTTATTACCCCTCCGCCCCCCCCCCCCCCCCTGTAAAAAAAAAAAAAAATGCAGTCAGTTTCAATAGTGTAGTCTAAAAACTTTTTTTCTCCATAATTGAATATAAAAACACTGCTAACATTTAAATTTCACAGTTCGGACATACGTGACATATTATCAAAATTGCAATTTCAACTTTGAATTGTAAATTTCGACATAATAATATCTGATCAAAAAACAAAAGGCACATTGCCTATAGCCCATCGGGCAGGCTATAACATACCAAAGTTTGGTATAAAATAGAGCAAGAATAAGCGAGATACTGTTCAAAGAACAATGTCATGTACTGTACATTCATGATGTAAACGAAATTCACCTTCTATAAGCATTGCACGTAAATTAAGAAACTTCTGACATGTCGCCTTTAGTCGCAATTTTCACTATGATGTCTTCATCAAAATGACAAAAAGTGGATATTGACCACGTAGAAAATTATCTTGGCTACAACATATCAAAAATTGGTTGAAAAACAATCAATATTTACAGAGATACAGTAATTACAAACAACTATACAGTGCGTCCCAGAAAAAACGAAACCGAGAATCATTGACGTTTTATCACAACTTAATCACAATTATAATGAATAAATGACATATATTTGTAAAGCTTAGCAACTCATATAATGCATATTTCACGCATGAGTGATTAAAATCAATTTGAAAAAAGAGAACAAAAAGTCATTTGCCGCACGGTATCTAAATTTGAAAGAGAAAATCAGCTTTTGCCCTTTCATATGACACCTCAATCATGAAAAATAGGCAAGGAATAATTTTTTTGCTTAAAGTGATGCTTAAATTAAAATAATTTGATTAAACAAATTCGTTTTCACTGGCTGCCTGCTGTAACAACCCCCCCCCCCACCCCCCTCAAAAAAAAAAAAAAAAATGCAGTCAGTTTCAATAGTGTAGTCTAAAAACTTTTTTTTTCTCCATAGTTGAATATAAAAACACTGCTAACATTTAAATTTCACAGTTCGGACATACGTGACATATTATCAAAATTGCAATTTCAACTTTGAATTGTAAATTTCGACATAATAATATCTGATCAAAAAACAAAAGGCACATTGCCTATAGCCCATCGGGCAGGCTACAACATACCAAAGTTTGGTATAAAATAGCGCAAGAATAAGCGAGATACTGTTCAAAGAACAATGTCATGTACTGTACATTCATGATGTAAACGAAATTCACCTTCTATAAGCATTGCACGTAAATTAAGAAACTTCTGACATGTCGCCTTTAGTCGCAATTTTCACTATGATGTCTTCATCAAAATGATAAAAAGTGGATATTGACCATGTAAAAAATTATCTTGGCTACAACATATCAAAAATTGGTTGAAAAACAATCAATATTTACAGAGATACAGTAATTACAAACGACTATACAGTGCGTCCCAGAAAAAACGAAACCGACAATCATTGACGTTTTATCATAACTTTAATCACAATTATAATGAATAAATGACATATATTTGTAAAGCTTAGCAACTCATATAATGCATATTTCACGCATGAGTGATTAAAATCAATTTGAAAAAAGAGAACAAAAAGTCATTTGCCGCACGGTATCTAAATTTGAAAGAGAAAATCAGCTTTTGCCCTTTCATATGACACCTCAATCATGAAAAATAAGCAAGGAATAATTTTTTTGCTTAAAGTGATGCTTAAATTAAAATAATTTGATTAAACAAATTCGTTTTCACTGGCTGCCTGCTGTAACAAACAAAATTGACAAAAGACTTACTCCGTTTTGTTGACAATCAGACATGGGCGAAAGACTTCCTGCATGGCTGGTTGTCAACGAAACGGAGCTTGTCTTTTGTCAATTCTGCTTGTTGCTACAACAGGCAGCCAGTGAAAACTGACTTCTTAAATCAAATTTTAAAACTTTAAACAAAACTTTGCTCTTTTTTCCTGATTGAGGTGTCACATAAAAGGGCAAAAACTGAACTTTCTAAAAATATTTTCTCTTTTGAAATTTAGATACCATACGCCAAATGACCTTTTGGTTCCCTCTCTTCAAATTGATTTTAATCACTCATGCGTAAAATATGCATCATATGAGTTGCATCAAATAAAAGAGGCTCTAAGCTTTACAAATATGTCATTTATTAGTTATAATTGTGATTAAGTTATGATAAACATCAATAATTTTTCGGATTCTTTTTTTTGTGGGACGCACTATATAACGAAATATAAAAAAAACATATTACAACTTTTCTATCTCAACAGCAATCCCATCTGTCCCAATTTTATACCTTATTGGAAATCCAAGGAGGGAGGATACGAGATTTTCGTCCATGCCGTCTGCGATCTTGATGCAATTTCCATTTTTCATCATGATACGCATGGGTACGCTGTATAAAAAGAAAATGAAAATACAATTAACATATATTTAAAAACCTAATAAGGGCCATTTATACACATATTTCACAACTCAATGTCTTTATAAAGCCTTGATATATATATATAAAAATGGGACTTTAGTTAGAAAATGGGGCCCTACAGTTTGTCTAAATTTAGAGCCTGGAATTTCAACATGTGCATGAATTCAAAATAATTACTAAGCCTACACGAAACTACATTGTTAAGATGAGAGATAGTAGTGCTAAGGTAGTGACTTCAATACTAGATGTACAATTAAAAATAATATGAAAATTTGAGTGAAAACGGAAACGGATAGTGATTCTTGACAATTTGATATATTTTGATGCCTTTGTGGATGTATTATAAGCACTAGAAAATTTAGCCCCTAAAACACTAATGCTTACAAAAAAAATTGAATATAAAAATTTACCGGTGCTCCTGGTAAATTGATAAATTTCAATTAGCGTCTATGCCCGAAACATGGTAGATGCGACCATGAAAACCTCAAAATATGTAGTTGTGATATATAATTTCCAACCAGGATTAGCTAAAATCGGTTGATTTTAGTCAAGAAACATTGTTTTATAGCTTAATGAATATCTTGACCTCGAGAGAGAGCTATACAACATCAAAAGTTTATTATTTACAATTTCATAACTTTAGACTCGATTTCAACCGCAACAACGATTAACTGAATATTGTAAGATCGCATATGCTTCCAATATGTTAATTTGAACCAAATTCATGACCCCATATTAAAACTTTGTATTACCTTTAATATAATTATTTCAAGTTGTTAACATTATATAGGAAAAAGGACACTATGGCGGCCATTAAAACAAAAGAATACAACAGATCACAAAAGCAGAATTTGAAAAACACAATATCATTTTCTCCACCCAGGCGCGTAAGCAGGGGGGGTTTGAGGGTCGACCCCCTCCCCCCCCCCCTCAATATTTTGTATGTGTGCGATTTTGAGGAAAACCCTCCCCTCAAATTTGTTTTAATAAAAAAATATTAAAAAGGTGATCTTACCACCCCCCCCCCCCCCCCCCCTCCCTAACTAAACAAAATATCAGTCGGCCAAATTTTCAAATTTCTTGGACCCCTCAAAAATGTGCTCTTAATTTATTTCACTTAACCCAAACCGAGTCATATTTCAAGCCAAGATATGCATCTTTCATTTTATATACCTTTAATTTCTTAATTATAATAAAGTTGATGTCGAAATTGAACAAAAGTGTTACAATTGTCCTCGGTCTCCCCTACTAAATTTGATGCTTTTCATCACAAAATGCACAATTACCCCTAAAATTAACGCTACGATTATACCGGGTTCTATTGTAATCCAACTACATGTACATGTACCAGTTATAACAACAAAAATCTAAATATAAAAACATTTACGCACATCAAAAAACAAACAAAACGGCAATGATCATTCTAAAAGCTAGGAACGGATTCGGCATTTACGCAATTCTTCTTAATTATACACAATTGCCGGAGCTACATGTAAGAGAGTATACAAAAATCTAAACCAATTTAGTCTCACTATGCAAATGGAAAAAAAAAAGACTTTTTACACCTACACCTGTACACATGTGTACATGCACTACAATAAAAACATAAAATACACATAACAAATAACCACCAAAAAGTACAAACCTTGTTTTTCTCACGCCAATCACCTCTCCCTCTACCCATTTTTCTTTCACCATCTACATAAATGCAAAAATAAAACAAAAAAAGACAAAGAAATATCAATACAAACATATTGTGACAAAACAGTAGTACACATAACATATTTCATTCAAAGTACCAAAGAGTTTTAAGAGATGGGAGTCATATCTAATTCATTCCCTTTGAACCATCTTCGATGCCGCCAAAAAAAAATATGTCGGGCATGTACTTAACTGATGATTCCTGCCTATCTGTAAACTAAAGGGTTACTTTTAAAAATTGACAGTTTGACTAGATTACAAAAAAAAAAATTATGAGTAAAATGATGTCTTAAAATGAGAAATAAAAGTAAATTAAATATGACACTCTCACAAGCTACTGGGCTTTGAATTTGAAAAGATGCCACGTCGAACAAAATTGTTAAAACCTAGAAAAAAATTAAATAATATTATTACAACAAAAAAATGTAATCATAATGGTGTGAATCACTCGATAAATAAGAACGGACGCCACTTTCTATTCGATAACGGTTTTATTCAATCTGCACTCAAAGAGAAAATGCAGATAGAAAATCCGGTGTTAACATTGACATATTTACAGTAGTATTAAAAAAATACTTATTCATAGAGTTACACACAAGATATTTCATTGAATGGTTCAATGTATTTCTTGCCAAAAATCCAATCAATATTAACTCTATGATGTTCACAACACAAGCACGTGCTCCAAGTCTGTTCATGTATCACCTTAATCCAATGTGCTAAAAGCATGTGCTTTGTTCATGTATCACCTTAATCCAATAACTTGTCACATACACCTATCAAAGTGACTTTCACAACTGACCTAAATAACAATGCGCAAAAACAAATTTGATTTTTTTTTTTTTGTGCATTCAATCTACATGTACCTTGCTAAATAACTGTTGCTGTTTTTCAACTCAGCCAAAATGATAATTTATCAAACTTGTAAATCTCCTATTTTTTTATACAACTCAAAAAATGACCAAATTATTCTGGCGCTAGTGTTGTTAGGTATTCATTTTTTTTAGCACTTTAATATCCATTCTTAGCAAAGAAATTTTAACCCAATAGTTTACTTATTTTAATCATAATCATTTATTGCATTTTCCACCTCAATTTGGATCACATTTGACATCAAGAAACCTCCGTTTAGAGCTTTGATGTCACCGTCGTCGCTCAGTACCAATCATCTCTATGCTATAGTCCTGCACCTCAAACTGAAGCTATCAGTCCAAAATTATGCAGACTTCTCGTATGGTGGTATCGTGCATGTTATGATACCACCATACAAGGTTTGAGGTGCAGGACTAGCATAGAGACGGTACTGGGTAGGCCTGTGGATCGGGGGCCGATCTTGAGCCGATCAGGAATGATCAGATAATAATTTCCGATTGCCGATCAATAAAAATGATCCAAAAAACATTGGCAGAATTTTTTTTTTTTTTTTTTTAATGACAAAAATTTTCAAGTTTTTGGCTATCAAAGGCTTTTACAAAATTCATAGCTGGGATTATTTTGTCATGTGAAGTTGTTGTAGACCATGTTTGTTATATCTAGTGACTTTTCATGACTTTGAAATTACAATATTGGTCTAAGAGAAGAGGCAAAACATGCGGGCCGCCATCTTGGATTATAATGCATGCCTACTTTATGAAAATTGAAAATTTTCGTCATTAAAAAAAATAAAAAATAAACAAAAAATCAGCTGATTTTTGGTGTCGATCTTCAAGTCCGATACCGATCAAAGGTACGAGGGTGTCGCTCCGATCTTCCGATCCGATCAGAGCCCCAACTTACACGATTAGGCCAAATAAAAAAAACATGTTTAACATCCTTTTTTTTTTTATTATTTCAAAATGGCCGCTCAAAATAGCCGCTCGGTACATTTTCCCTGACAGTCTGACTATTTTTCAAGATGGCCGCCAACATTTTTTTTTTTTTTTAAATTTAAATCAGAAATTGATCTATTTTAGCAGTGTTTTTCATGTTTTTTTCTTTAAAAAAAAAAATAAAAAATAAAAAAAATAGGAGGCGGCCCCCCCAAAAAAGCGGGAGGGGAAGCTAAACATGCATATTTTGTTACATGGCCTTAGTACTGAGCGACGACGTCGACATCGAAGCCCTAAACGGAGGTTTCCCGATGTCGGATGTGATCCAAATTCAGGTGAAAAATGCAATAGGTCTATACGATTATGATTGAAATTAATAAAAAATTGTGCTAAAATTCATTTGCTAAAAAATTAAAATGGATATTAAACTGCTAAAAAAAATAGATACGAAACTACACTAGCGCCATTATTCTTTAAAAATTTGCATACATTTTATGCGCACTCATTAAGTGTTTTCTGCTATGGACTTGAATTCTATACAAATAAATAGCATGGCATTCTATTATTTGCCAAGACTAGACCTAGAATCTAAATGTTTTAATTTATACACTTGCATATAAACCTCTAGATCTAGATAGTCTATAGAGTCTATTTAAAATTGCTTTTTATTTATACATACACGTTTACTTTCTCCAAATAAACCAATTTCTCTCTCATATGAGCAACCAAAATTCAATAGACAATGCATGCAGTATTTTTACAAACCAAATAATATATCAGGTCCTTAAGACACTTCATTTTGTGAATGACCCTAATAACAGTGACCTACTTTTTGCAAGCCTGATTTCATTAGATGGTGAAATCAACTCTTACTTGAATCTTGGATTCTTTTCCTCCTTAATACTTCCTCATGCTACTCTCAAAACCAATCTTGGTTTTCTTGATTTTTAAGTAAATAAACTATGGTCTAATCAAATACCTCACTCCATTTACACTCACTTCTACATATATCTACAATACTTTGTGTCTCTGCGTTAAATTCAATTTCCACTAAATTTACGCGTTTTAAAAAAAATAAACAACTAACATTTGACCGATAGACGCGTTAAACTTAAAGATAAACTTGAGTTCTAGATCCTAGTGGGTAAAAAAAGAAAATGAATTCTCACAGAATCTAACGAAACTTACACTGAATGTTCAAGATTACAAATAAATGTCATGTGCCAAACAATTTTGGAAGAAAATGTATACTGGCTGAGTAATGAGCATAGAAAGATTAAAAAAATCAGGGTAGTACTTTGTACCCAAAATCGTTTGGCAAATTTCAATTTGTAATCTGAATATTCAGTTTAAGTTTCATTTGATTCTGTGAGAATTGATTTTCTTTTTTAAAACCAAAAGTCAAGTAGATCTAGATCTAGACCTATATCTTTAATATATTAATTAAACAGGCATCGTAAAAGGGCTTGTATTGAAGGAGGAACACATTGGAACATCGATAATATATATAGGGGTCCTACTAGATCTAGTACTACTAGCCCCGACCATGCCGACACCATGTGTGTTGTCCCATATACATCTTTCTGTGTAAGTGATTGTTACTTTACCAAGACTCTGCCAAATTTATGATGAGTTTGATGACTCCAAAACCTTGCATTACACACCATTACTTACATGCTATATGATCAACTTTTCTGATCCATTCCACACCTTTTCTTTCACAATGCAATCGCATTACCAGAACTCAGTTTATCTTTAAATCTCAACAGCGCGCACACTGACCTCTTTGAAGCTGAGTGTATGTGTACACAAACGTACCAAATTAATCCGACACATAGTCTCATAGACACAAAATCTTGCACAGTTTATATCTCAACATTGAATTAATCTACACATTTTTATCCTTTACTAAACAAGTATTGAGTATTTCATGATATAAACTTACTCTATGGGCGGCGTTAAACTCAACGTAAAAAGACAAATTCGGAGACTTTTTGTCCCACTCGCACTGATTTTCTCTCGAAAAAACGTTCTGTCTACTAACTCATGTTACGGTGTCTTCAAGTTTCAAACATTTAACAAAAAATCTTTAAAAAATGATTAAAGAAACTATTGTTTCAAAATGTGCTTTAAATAATTGTTTACAACTCATTTTTAAACCAATGAACATTAAAGGAAAATCTAACCCAAATAGAGTACTAATCTAATACAAAGCACAAAAGCAAACTGATGAAAGTTGAATATAAAAAAGTTATGAATTTTTAAAAGTAGTAATCACTATACCTATGAGCACTTCAAATTGGCTGAACCAGTAATGCCAATGTGATATAGTGTCGGCTACTTTTCCATCTGTTCCAACATATAAATGACTAAATTTGTATTTTTTTCGAAAATTCATTGCTCAGGAGGGTTTTTTTTTTTAAAGGACCTATAAATACTATGCTATCTATAATTTTGAGTAGTGTTCCAAGGGAAAACAAACATACGAAAAAAACAAAAATTAATGGTATTTTTGTACACGACAAATGAGAGACTGATCCACGTCCTACGTCACAATCCACTGACCGAACTACCAATTTGAGATTTGCATAGACTGAGTAATCTCATATTTCAAACATTCATAACTTCCTTACTATTGGTCGATTCATTTCAAACTTTTGCCATTTTGTTTGTGTTATTTCAGTTCTGCTTTTATACACATAAACTTATTACAAGGGTTGGATTAATTGCCCTTCAGTTTAAAACACAAACAAAATCAATGACTAATCATGAAAAGTTCAAAACAAACCTACAAAATCACAACTAAAGTGGCATCTGATTTAACGATGCGATCATTCAATTTCGAGCAAAGTTGAATAATCACCGAGATCATTTTGTGTCTACGTGTCGGATTAATTTGGTACGTGTGTAGACATATCAAACTGTGCAACTCAACATAAAAACAAAAAAAACATTCAAAAAGCTATCTAGTTCATTCAATTTGATTGTATAAACATGCAATTCATGATTTTCCCACATCAGCGTGCAAAAAGCGCGTTCAAATTAAAAAAGCAAGTAAATTCATTCAAATTAGCGCCTGCATTGCCATAATAAACATTAATGTATTCAAATTCACAAATAGACAAATTAAACGTCTATCCAGCTGGCGCAAAATTGGTCATTAAATTAAATGGATTTTTCTCTGAATTAAATAAAATTCAAAAGAAATGATAAAACGAAATTGAAAGCTCAAAAAATGAAAATGAACCATGAGAGCAGAGAGTTGACAAATATCATTGAAACTTAAACGCCTATGTATGAACTCGAAATGCAACTCTGATAAAATTGGGCGGGAAAACCTATAGTAAAACAAAATTACCTCAATTTTCGTGGACACCGACCCCTGCAGACCATTGGCGTCTCTAATGACGGCCGTCACCAGGACAGACAGTCCTTCTGCTACATCCTGAGAAGCGCTCTCGCCCCATAGGGTTATTGGTATCGATTGAGTATCGTCATCACCCAGCTGTCTCAACGTTATTACCCGCCTTTTGTAACTTCCACTCTCCACAAGTTGGCCTACCTGCAAAACACCATAAACAAGTACATCACGTATTTAATTCGAAAAATACAAAAACATTTGAAAATAACAATAGTGTGTTTTTGTATAGCACTCATGTCCGTCACACTTGGCACTTCTGGTTTTCCCCAGTATAATGTATAATGCATTACACTATACACTCAAATCGTAATATGATATCATTTATAATGTTTATATAAATAAATATCTTTTTTAATGTTTCATAAAATCCTCACAATTTGAAAAAACTTCTTTTACGATTCAAAATCACTAAGTTAAACAAAAAATCGTCACAATTGTTACATTTTACAACAGCAAAATACATACCTCGATCACATCACCTTCAACTGTCATTCTTCTTTTTGGGGCGCTCCCCCGAGCCTCAGAGACAGAAACACTTTTCGGCCTGATAAAGCTGTCCACTGCTTCCTTGTTTACGTCGAAATCGACGACTTCAGAAAACACCTAAAAATACAATTTATATCAATAAAATACAATTTATAACTATTTAAAGATTGTGATACATAGCCACTTCTCTACAACAATACCACTATAAACCATTTTTTTAAAGGCCCCAAGTATAAACATATTTACCTTAATATAAATACCATCCTTCATAATGAAACTGCAAATTAATAAAGCCATACTTTCAACAAAAAACAACAAAAAATCAACAAATATTTAAGCTACTAAATCATATTGATAATTTATACTACCGTTTAACCATTACAGATTTAAAATTAAATATAAATTATTTTTAGCCAAAAATTGATTAGGCTAAATGGAATGGATATAGTTTTACCATACCTCTAATGGTTATCGAAGACAAAATATTACTTTTTTCAAATAATTTTGTTAATGATATTATTGCTTTATTTAGTCAAGCAAATGTATCTAGTACAGGCCTATTAAAAGCCCTTCAATGAATAAAACAAATTATAATTCACAATTTAGTCAACCATTGATTAGGCAAAAAAAAAAAAAAAAACATGTTTAGCGTCCTGTTTTTTCAAAAAATAGAAAGGAGGCCCTTTTTTTTTTTTTTTTTTTTCTTTTCAAAATGACCGCTCGGTACATTTTCCCTAACAGTCGGGCTACTTTTCAAGATGGCCGCCGACATTTTTTTTTTTTTTTTTTTTTTTTTTTTTTAATCAGAAATAGATCAATTTTAGCAGTATTTTTCATGTTTTTTTCTTTATTTTTTTTGATTAAAAAAATAAAAATAAATAAATAAAAAAAAAAAACATGAAAAAAAAAAAAAAGTTTCAAAAAAAATAAAATAGGAGGCGGCCCCCAAAAAGGAAACGGGCGGGGACGCTAAACATGTATATATTTTTTTAATGGCCTTAGGCTAAATAAATGATCATATATTGTCAAGTGGACGCTTACTCAACACAAAAATCCATACATAGACACCAAAAAGTTCCAAACTTTCACTTACCGTCGCATTTGCTAGCAAACGGAGACTGGGGCCTCCCTTACCCACCACGTGCGTTATGATGATTTTGTCACCGGCCTTCAATTTGACGAGGTCCACAGCCGCTTCGCTCGTTACCTCATTAACAAAACACCCCTTAATTACACCTTCTCTACCACTTTCGATGACATTTCCAAAAAGGTATTGGCGACCACTCGGCGCCTTCACTTTTCTCAGTTCAAAACCTTCTACAATCATCAATTCAACTGAGGAGTGTTTAGTCGACATCTTGTTATCCTTAATGTCCTTGCTATCAAAATGTCACACATATGCATTTGTCAGACCCCTTATATACCCATGTCAAAGGTACGTAACATCTTTTACAATAGGCTTTCCCTACCTAGCAACACTAACCCATGCGCAGATAGTATTTACAAAATGGCTTGTTGTAATAGGCCATTTCGTAATGTAACCAAATTTAATGCATAAGTCTTTGTAAAGTTCCTCAATACAAACTGCTAAGTAGGCTTGACCTACCTAGCAACACTAGCACATGCGCAGATAATATTTACAAAATGGCTCGTTGTGATAGGTCATTTTCGTAATGTAACCACATTTAATGCATACGTCTTAATTTGTGAAGTGCCTCAACACAAACTATTTCATTCACCTGGTAACAATATTATTTGTCTGTGGTACGATTGTAAAACAGGCAAATGTTATTTGCATCGTTAATGAATGCTACTTATGTTGGGTCCGGCCCAGGAGCCCCGATGGAATGTAATTTGCAAAGGCAGCTCGAACAGGTGTGCGAACTAATTCTGCGACGGATACCAAGGCGTGGCATCATTATTAGTGCGTAATTCAATCATTCTAGCCTGAACTTTCAACGAGACAACTTTTATTTACAATAAAAGTGCGTTAGTTACATTAGTTGTTGCCATGTTGGACAAACTGCTCAGTAGGCTTGACCTACCTAGCAACACTAGCCCATGCGCAGATAGTATTTACAAAATGGCTTGTTGTAATTGGCCATTTTCGTAATGTAACCAAGTTTAATGCATAAGTCTTTAATTTGTAAAGTTCCTCAATACTAACTGCTAATAGGCTTGACCTACCTAGCAATACTAGCCCATGCGCAGATAGTATTTACAAAATGGCTTGTTGTAATTGGCCATTTTCGTAATGTAACCAAATTTAATACATAAGTCTTTGTAAAGTTCCTCAATACAAACTGCAAAGTAGGCTTGACCTACCTAGCAACACTAGCCCATGCGCAGATAGTATTTACGAAATGGCTTGTTGTAATAAGCCATTTTCGTAATGTAACCAAATTTAATGCATACGTCTTAATTTGTAAAGTGCCTCAATACAAACTATTTCATTCACCTGGTAAAAATATTATTTGTCTGCGGTACGATTGTAAAGCAGGCAAATGTTATTTGTATTGCTAAAGAATGCTACTTATGTTGGATCCGGGGCCGCGTGCCCCGATGAAATGTAATCTACATTTAGGCAGCTCGTACAGGTGTGCGAGCTAATTCTGCTACGGATACCAAAGCGTGGCATCAATTAGTGTGTAATTCAATCATTCTAGCCTGAACTTTCAACGAGACAATTTTTATTTACAAAAAAAAAGTGCGTTATAGTTACATTAGTTGTTGCCAGGTATAGGCGCGGATCCAGGATTTCTTAGGGGGGGGGGGGGAGGCCCAAATTTAAAATCATGCGAGCCAAATATTGGTACGTAATGGTGACCAACAGTGACGTAATGCGAGGGGGGGGGTCGGTGCAGGGGGGGGGGGGGGGGAGTTTCACCCTCCCAAGCTTTGACGTTTCATTATATTATTAGAGAAAAAAGACGATTCGTTGTACTGTTCTCGAAAATAATTCTCGTCTGAATCTAGTTTTTCCCCTCCCGCGCTAAGCGCGGAAAATTTTACGGTTTATTAAATTATTAGAGAAAGAAGACGATTCGTTGTACTGTTCTCGAAAATAATTCTCGTCTGAATCTAGTTTTTCCCCTCCCGCGCTAAGCGCGGAAAATTTTACGGTTTATTAAATTATTAGAGAAAGAAGACGATTCGTTGTAGAGTTCTCGACTCTTAATCCTCGTCTAAATTCAGTTTCCCCCCTCCCGCGCAAAGCGCGAAAGCTATTACGATTCATTAAACTATTAGATACAGAAGACGATTCGTTGTACTGTTCTCGACTCTTAATCCTTGTCTAAATTCACCCCCCCCCCCCTCCTGCGCGAACCGTAGAAGCTTTGACGTTTTATTAAACTATTAAAGAAAGAAGACGATTCGTTGTACCGTTCTCGACCCTTTATCCTCGTCTGATTTTAGTTTCCCCCCCCCCTCCCGCGCAAAGCACGGAAGCTTTTATGTTTCATTAAATCATTAGAAAAGAAAATGATTCGTTGTACAGTTCTCGACTCTTAATCCTTGTCTAAAATCAGTCCCCCCCCCCCCCCCCATCCCCTCCTGTGCGAAGCGCGGAAGCTTCTACGTTTCATTAAATCATTAGAGAAAGAAGACGATTCGTTGTAGAGTTCTCGACTCTTAATCCTCGTCTGAATTCAGGTTCCCCCCTCCCGCGCAAAGCGCGGAAGCTTTTAATCTTCATTTAATCATTAGCCTAATGATTAAATGAAGATTAAATTCGTTCTACCGTTCTCGAAAATAATCCTCATCGGAATTTAGTTCCCCCTTCATCCCGCGCAAAGCGCAGAAGCTTTTACGTTCCATTAAATCATTAAAGATTCGTATTACCGTTCTCGCCTCTGAATCCTCGTCTGTATTCAGCACCCCCCCCCCTCCCCTCCTGCGCTTTGACGTTTTATTATTAGAGAAAAAAAACGATGCGTTGTACCGTTCTCTATACTCTTAATCCTTGTCTGAATTTCAAAGATGTTCTTTGTCTGCTCCTTTTTCTTCCTACGTCGTCTTCCGATTTGGGGGGGGGGGAACCGCCCCACCCCCCCCCCCCCCCCCTTGCTACGCGCCTGCGGTCAGATAAACACATCTTGATACCTTGTCCGACCCCGCAAGCTCAGGGGTTAAGGCAATAAATTACGGTCAGATAAGCATTCAGGGGCCCGCCTTAGGGCTCCTGGTGGGGTCGAGGCGGCAGAGCCGGCCCCGGAAGCGAATTTTTTTTCCGTACTCGAGAGGGCAAATACCCCATGTGCGCATGCGCGTGGACTTGTGATTTCTCTGCTACTTCCCATACGAAATGTACATGTATTCGCATCTACTGTGCACGATTCGCGTTCTACGAGTAAACGATGGCATAGTAGTCTTCAAACACAGACTCTGATTTGCCAGTTTGACAAAACAATTACGCATATATCGTGCGTAGCAATAGTACTAGTATTCAAGTCTGAGTAGTTGTATGATTCAGACATTTTAGTGCTTACAGAAATGCATCCCAAATTGAATAGCATGGTATAGTAGTCTGCAAGCACAGACGCTAATCGGACAGTTTGACAACATAGTGTCTTGAGTAGTGCTTTATATTCAAATATGTGTAGTTTTATGATTCAGACCCTACTGGTGCGTGTATTGGAAAGGCATCTCAACTTGCAGAGTGGCATAGTAGTCTGCAAGCACAGACGCTAATCTGACAGTTTGACAAAATAGTGTTATTCAAGTCTGAGTAGTTTTATGATTCAGAACCTACTGGTGCGTGTATTGGAAATGCACCTCAACTTATAGAGTGGCATAGTAGTATGCAAGCACAGTTATTAGACCAAAGTTAGAAATATTATTACAGAATGACGGTTTTGAGAAGGCCAATAAATGACCTCATGGTGTGTGGGTTTGTTCAGAGCCAAAAGGGCATTCGTTGTGTTAAGAGTTAACATCCTTCTGGCTCTCAGCAGACCATGATTATAAATAAAAGTAATACAGAGAGTGCGAGCATACTGGAGGGAGGGCTAGAGAGAGAGAGAGAGAAAGAGAGAGAGATATGGAGAGAGAGAGAGAGAGAGAGAGAGAGAAAGAGTGTGAGAGAGCAGTGGCACAATACATAGGCCTACCATGGGGTCTGGAATCATTAAACTACACAAACTTGCATAAAATCACTACTCATCAATACACAATATATTATTATGTCCTTGCAGACTACTATACTACACTCTACACATTGAGATGCATTTCTAACGCACGCACCAGTAGGGTCTGAATCATACATCTACGCAGACTTGAATAAAGTACTTCTCAGCACACTACTAGTATGTTGTCAAACTGTCAGATTAGCGTCTGTGCTTGCAGACTACTATACCATTCTATACAAGTTGGCGACTTGAATAAAGTACTTCTCAGCACACTACTAGTATGTTGTCAAACTGTCAGATTAGCGTCTGTGCTTGCAGACTACTATACCATTCTATACAAGTTGCAATGTATTTCCATATGCACTACTGGGTCTGAATCATACAACTACACAGACTTGAATAAGCACATCGCGACACATACGCATATTGATTTGTCAAACTGGCAAATCAGAGTCTGTGTTTGAAGACTACTATGCCATCGTTTACTCGTAGAACGCGAATCGTGCACAGTACATGCGAATACATGTACATTTCGTATGGGAAGTAGCAGAGAAATCATAAGTCCACGCGCATGCGCACATGGGATTTTTGCTCTCTCGAGTACGGAAAAAAAATTCGCGCCCCGGAAGCTCAGGGGTTTTAGGCGTTTAATTATAACCATAATTTTTTGTATACCTTATTATTTTGTGACACTGGCAGGTCACTATTTGGCGTGGGGTCCAGGGGGCAGAGCCCCCCAAAATCAGGAGTTTTAGGCATTAAATTACCGTCGGATGATCATCTAAGGGCCCGCCATAGGGCCCTAGATGGAATCGAGGGGGCAAAGCCCCCGGAGGCTTAGGGGTTTTAGGCATTTAATCACGGTCAGATGAGCAAATTTTGATGCCTCATTATTTTGTTAACACTGGCAGTTAACTATTCTTACTTTGCTGCTCTCATTCTATATTATTTCTCTTTAATATACTTTTTCAAAAAAAATTGGGGGGGGGGGGCTCGAGGCTCTCGATCCCCACCGTACCTCGGGCCCTGACATGTAGGAATCTCAAGAATCAAATTTTTGCCTGGCTGTAAATTTAGGAATTTGTCATTTTCAAACAAACACAATCATGCAAACGTATAATTTAGTAAAAAGTGAGGAAAAATTTCGGAAATTATGTCATTTCAGCATTATTTGTAATCCACCGTTGTGCAATTAAAAATATACCACTTCATGGTCATCATCATTTCAAACCAAAAAATCATCATCATCAATATCGTCATTATCGTATTCATGAACATTATCTAAGATCATTATCGGCACACTTTCATGATAAAAAAATAGCATACGTATCACCTAATTTGTCAAAGTGACGAATTAAAGTCTAGTTAGGTGATACGTAACGAAGTCAACGTATCACCTTTTGATTTCGTCAAGATTTTTATTATTAGGTGATACGTAACGAAGTCTACGTATCACCTATTGATTTCGTCAAGATTTTCTTTATTATTATTATT